GTTTATCATGGCAAGACGAAGCACATCGGGATGAGGTATCACTTTGTGAGGGGATTGATCAGTAATAGAACAATCAAGTTGAAGAACATCTCAGGTGCTAAGAATCCAGCAGATATGTTCACCAAGACAGTGGTGCTGGATAAGCTGAAGCTTTGCATAGCTTCAGCTGGTCTCCTGGAATAGTGTTGAGGAGAGGGGCAACTAGGGAGATGTGAAGATCAAGGAGGATCTTTCATTTACATAAGTACAGAGAGAAGCCGCAGTTTGGTCCAAAGACTCCAAGTGGGAGATTGTTGGTGATGTGTAGTCATCGGCCCAAAGTGGCCCACTTATAGACAACTGAGAGTTAGGAGACCAGATTAGGGTTTCGGCCGGCCCAAATGGTTTTAAGCCCAGTTTGCTATAACTTGTCCAGCAAGGGTTAAACCCTAATTAGTTGTCTATATATATGATCTCCTGTACTTGTAATCATTATCACTCAATAATACAAACCCTAGTTGCCCCTGTGGATGTAGGTCAGATTAGACCGAACCACGTTAAATCTCGTGTTCTTTATCGCTTTCTTGCTTTATATTCGTGTGTGTGCTTTTGTTCTTAACAACATTTCTACATCAACCATGTCATTTGTACAGGATGTCATTCCAAGGTAAACTACTAGAGAGACAATAGAGCTGTAAGTATCAATGGTTAAACATGTAAGACTGCCACATTGTCATGTGCATCAATTAGCAGATTTCACAGAGCAGTGATTTTTTCTTACTCCGTCCATATCTCCAATGGCACCATAAATGCAACTGACGAGCTTTTCAGTAACCATAGTTAAAAAAAGACTAAGTTTGGAAAAGGAAATGCTTCTGAGATAAATTCAGACCTGGTAACCACATTTACAAGGCTTGAACTGTTGATCAGTCCAGTCCATCTCCTCGGCACAAAGAGGACACTTCTTCTCTTCTTCGTTGCTCATGATTCCCCTGCAAAAAAAATAAAATGACAAACCTAATTAGCACACTGCGTCAAAAATCAGAACAAAAAAATAGTCAGCTTTCGAAGCCACATCCGAACAAGCACAGCCTCCTCCCCTAACAGCCATCAATCGGCACGCACAGACACACAAATTAACCAAAACGAAACAAGCACACATTCCACAAAACCCTAAACGGACCAAAAAAAAAAAAAAAAAATCCAGCTTCTTCGACTCAGCCGCATTTCCGCAGCAGATCAGAGCCAGAACTGGACGGAATCCAGAGAGACCGGATAGAAGAAGAATCGACACAGAGACACATTCGAAATGCCACTAGAAGACGAAGCCGAAGCAGGCGCGCGTGCAGAGCAAACAAGCAAAAAAACAAATCGTTAGAACATACATGGCGCGGTGAAATGCGGAGGAATGCGCGTCGATTGCTAGGGTTTATGGATGTTGAGAGACCCTAAAAATGGCGACAGACAGAGAGAGAAAAAGGTTAAAAAGGGGGGAAAAGGGGAACCCACAGTGCAGAGAGAGTTATAATTGATTGACGGGGGAGGGGAGGGAAAGGAGACGCGAAAAAACAAGTGTGATGAGACAGGCACAAACAGCGGTGATGTGCGGCAACCACATGATGGAAACGCCATTTAATTCATTTTACTCTTTTTATCTACTTCGTATACATAGAAGACACAAGAATTCCACAATGGATACGGTCCGGTTCTAGTGACACCGGAGAACGGTGTCACTAGAACCCCATCCCAATGGATATACGTAATTCGATACTAGTACTTTTTTGAAGAAAATTTATTTTTTAAATAAAAAATTGAAGTTTACGGATATTATTTTGTACTTTTGACGAAATTTATGAAGCAAAAAGAATGAAGCAATTTGTGTTATGCATTGGACAAAACGAAGTTAAATTGACTTGATTCTTTTAAAGAAAATATCGTCATAAATGCGGAGTATATATGATCTAAGTTTATTGAGTTTCTACAAGTCTATAAATTAGAGTCTATCCCACATCGAAAGTTGAATAAAAAAGCAATCGATATATAAACTCTTGATTTGAACTAAGTGATCGATTGGATTTAATCATTTAATGTGGTTAGGTTTTGGCCCACTTTATTTGTCAAAGTATCCATCTAGACGTTCATTTCTAGTGATCCAATTCTCTTTAGCTTAGTTGGCTCATTTAACCCGATTGCTCGTCTGGAAGTACATACCTAGATGTTCATTGTTCATTAGGTGTTGGCACTCAAAAAAATCAAAGAGATGAGAATCAATTTGCAATTAGTCAAACGGTTAGATTCCAAATGGACCGGTTGTCCACTTGAGGGAGCGTTAGAGTCTATCCCACATCAGAAGTTGAATAGAAAAGTAATCGCTATATAAACTCTTGAGTTGAACTAAGTAATTGATTGGATTAAATTTTTTAATGTGGTTCAATCCAAGTGTCTTGTTGTTCAATCTAGTTATCCTTACATCATCCTAAATTCTTGTTAGCGTATATAAAACCATTCTAGATTAGTCACAACAACAAGTTTGAGCTTTTGGTTAAATTAGTACCTAGACATGGCATCAGAGCATTGACGACCAAAAGGTCACGAGTTCGAAATCACCGCCACCTAGTTTAAAACAATCAAGGTTTCACGTGTAAGACTCAAATAAGTCATATTTGCACGTGAGAGGGCGTGTTAAAGTATGTATGTATGTGTGTGTGTGTGTGTGTGTGTATATATATATATATATATCATTTATGTGCCACAACCACTAATGGGTAAAAACCCATTGGTACCACCCGGTATGTTCACAAGCTCCCAGGAGGTACCGAAGTCTAATCCCACCTGACCTCACCGACCTCGGTAATCTTACCGGGTGGATGTCAGGGGTCAAACCTGTGGGATCATGACTTCATTCACAAAGAAGGCTTGAAGACTGTCCGGGTGGATATCAGGGGTCGGATTTGTGGGATCGTGACTTCATTCGCATAGAAGGCTTGAAGACTGACCGGATGAATGTCAGGGGTCAGACCTGTGGGATCGTGACTTCATTCGCAGAAGGCTTGAAGACTGCCCGACTTGCAGACTGTATGGGTGGATGCCATAAGATAAACAAAATTCATAAACAATGTGTTTTGTTATTATAAATAGGAGCGAAAGCCTCATTAAGATGACATGCTTTAATTAATCCACAGAGATTGTAAGCTTGTAAATAGTCCCAATATCATTAATAACAAACCGGGTTACATTTGTTCTCATCTACAGCCCTTTCGCTTATTTAGACTTAATATTTACGTGGTTTTACACCATCAAATTGGCTCCACCCGTGGGACCTCTTTACAAAAAGAAGCCATGACGAACAATAATGTGGAATCCATCATTTCCCAAATTTCCACCCCGACGGAGGGCGTAACCCTGATCCCGGGAGGAATCACATCATTACCTTCTTTTTTCTCCCCCATGATCACCACCTTCACTACTCAAACAACGCCCAGTCAGGCCCTCCAAGACTTTGGACAATTTATGCCCATGTTCCAAAACCCGGGGGATTTACTCTTTTCATCCTTAGGATGTATCCTCATGCTCTAACTCAAAATACATCTCTTCCCAACACGTTGGGGCATCCCCCACCGTTTCAACTCGCCAGTACCACCCAGTCGGTCATCTCGACAAATCTGGTGGGGGAGCTGGAAAGGGCAGGTCCTTCCCAGTCCAGGAGGAGCAGATCCCACAAAATCTCCACTGAGGTCACACCCAACGGGGACGTGCGCTTTGTACGCAACAGGGACAAAGACTGGGATATTCCCAGGGGTAGAAAAAGCTGTAGGGCAAAGACGTCCAGCCGGAAGGTTCACAACGGTCAGCGTTCCAGCGACTGGGACACAAGGGGCGAAACTAGAACCGACCGGCCAAGGAGCGGTTGGGGGTGAAGACTCCCCATCCATGCGCACTCTACAGACTAGGGGTGGTAGGCGACCCGGTCGGATCGGGCGCTCTGACCCTCGTCTCTGTGATGAGCCCCAACACAGCAGGGTGCCTAGAGCGTTCCCCCGTTTGCATGGTCAAGGCCATGAAGGGAAAGAGATGCCTTGCTCACTCGGAGGACTAGAGCTCTTGTTCACCCGGGTGAAAGAAGAAATGACTCACATGATCAACTTTGAAGCATAGCTCGAGCTTGCTCTGTCAAAAATCCACCCGGGTGGCTTATTTTCTACTCATGTCGAAAGCCAAACTGGTCAGATCGGCTGGGTCCATTATCCTTTCTCGGGCGAAACACTTCTCTTTTTTTTGGTGGAGTGGTGAGATGCGTTAGACCGGGTAGATACAGCCCGGCTGTGGCCAAAGAGATTGAGAGTTTGAACGGTCGGGTCAAAAATAAAGGAAGCAAGTACAAAAATGGAATAAGTACTCGGCGACATTCACGAAGTTAAAAAAAATAAAATTTCATTCAGATGCATAAGAAGTTCCACAAAGCATTAAAGCCCGGCAAGAGCTATAAAGTTTAACAAAAAAAATGTTTGCAAGCTAGATTCCCTCAAAGGGGGCGACAGGCTCTTCGTTGTGGAGCTTAGGGAGAGAGAAGACTTTGGGATCAAAATACTGCAACTGGCTACTCAGGATCTCGTACAGCCCACGGTGCTTTTGGTACTGACCGGTCTCAAATCCAAAGGTCCCAATGTCATCAATCAGTTGCTGGGACACTTGGAAGAATCAAATACCGACCTCTTGGTCAGGAAGTGCCTGGGCAGCGAACTTCTCCAGTTCCTGCGCAGCCCAAGCAGCGGCGTGAACAGCCCGGTTGGAGCACTCCCTCTACAGATTCAGCCCTTAGCGGGGCATTCTCCTCCTCCAGCTGGCCCGTCCGGCTGGCCTTCTCCTCCAACTCGGTGATCTTCCGCTAAGCCTGATCATCCGACTCCTTGGCGGACTTGAGCAAGCCCTTGTGCCCGGCGAAGAGACCCCGGTAGGCTTCGGCTTGTTCGACCAACTTCTCCTTCATTTTCTTTAATGCCAACCGGGCTGCCTCTGCATCTTTCCAAGCGGCGACCATGATGGCCTCCATCCAGAGCTTCTTGTCCGTCTAGAACTCTGGCCAAATTGCAAGTGAAAAATACGGGGGAGGACCTCGATTTATATAGGGAACGTACCGCCCAAGAGGACCAATGGAAAAATGACACCAGGCAAATACTATAATTAGCAATGATGACCTCTCGGGAAGGGGAAATCACATGACAACTAGGCAGCGGTGTACCGATTTCCAAAAAATATTTCCCGCCAACTTCGCGTGGAAAATTCAGAATTATTCAACGTTTGATTCACGCCCTTGATGGTGCCCACAAAGCCGGGAATCGGAGGACTCCTTGATGGGTATAACCCATTGGTACCACCCGATAAGTTCACAGGCTCTAGGAGGTACCGAAGTCTGATCCCACCTGACCTCACTGACCCCGGTAATCTGACCGGGTGGATGTCAGGGGTTAGACCTGTGGGATCGTGACTTCATTCGTAGAGAAGGCTTGAAGACTGACCGGGTGGATGTCGGGGGTCAGACCTGTGGGATCGTGACTTCATTCGCAGAAAAGGCTTGAAGACTGACCGGGTGGATGTCAGGGGTCAGACCTGTGGGATCGTGACTTAATTCGCAGAAGGCTTGAAGACTGCCCGACTTGCAGACTATCTGGGTGGATTCCATAAGATAAACAGTATTCATAAACAGTGTATTTTGTTATTATAAATAGGAGTGAAAGCCTCGTTAAGATGGCATGCTTTAATTAATCCACACGGCTTGTAAGCTTGTAAAAGTCCCAATATCATTAATAACAAACCGGGTTACATGTGTTTCCACCTACAGCTCTTTCGCTTATTTAGACTTAATATTTGAATGGTTTTACACCATCAACCACAAACTTAAACTTTTGGTTGAATTGGTTCTTTGACAATTCCTTTCCGTGTATAAACTAAAAAAATATTAGTGATCATGTGAATTTTTTCACTCACATTAATTTTTTTTAAAAATGAATTACCGATCATATAATTGTACGAATAAAAAATATGATTCTTCTCTCCCAAATTAATTAAGATTAGTGGAAGAAAATGATCCCCACGTTGATCGCAAAAATTGATTCTTCTCCTTGCGTTATTAAAAAATAAAATTTTAGATTAGCGATCTTATAAGTCTATGATTAAAAGTATTAATTTAAAAAAATAGTAAATCTCAATTATCTTTTCCCCTGCATTAATTTTAAAAAAAGTATTAGAAAAAGATTAACATATCTGTAAATTATAGAAAAATAACCAAAATAACCGAATGTGCCCGCATCGCCTTCAATCGTATTTTTCAAGTTTATTTGACTTTGGAGTTTATTTTGACTTCAAAATCAAATAAAACTTGGTAGATGCAATTGATGAGGGTGAGGTGTGTGTTTGGATCAAGGCAAATGGAGGTTTAGAAAGAACAGAAATTGTCAATTTTACAAAGAGGATAGAGTATGAGTTTTGGGTCATCTCATCACATTAGTTTACAATCGACAATGGTTAAATTAAAGAGTATGCTAGGGGTACACCAAAGGTGTACCCCATTTGTACACCATCCCTTCAATAACCATTCATTTATTTTTTATTTTTATTTACTTATTTTTTTTTTTAATTTTCTTGCCTAATTGAGTGGTAATGGAGGGGGTGAGGAACAAATATGGTACCTTTGGTGTACCCCTAGCATTTTCCTAAATTAAATGGTTGGATGGCACTCTAATGAAATGACATCCGCCTAAATAAATGACATCAGACTTAATTGCACCTAGCCGCCGCCGGCGTTGTATGCCTCCTATCAGCCCGTCATCTTCCAGCGCAAAGACTCTGTCCCTGTCTTCGTCCCCGAGGCAGCACCGAGGTTTCTTCCAGCCCTTCTGAGCTCTGAGGTGCGTTATAATAATAAAAATCAGGGGTTGACTTAACAATCTAGGACTACATTCTAAGTGTTTGTGGATTTGCCTAGCAGAGATTTGAATCGCTTGTCCACAGAAGTTGTAACTCTTGCAAAGACAAAAGATTGATTTGTCACAGCCGAGTGAGCTAGCCCGTGTTCAGCAGAGAAGATAATAATGTCGAAATGCTGCAGTTTTCTGTTTAGAAATGGCGTAATTTCAACTTCTGCTGAAACTCCATCTGTGGTTACCTTGCTCGAAACTCACCCGGGTATTCACCCTTTTTTGTTTGTCATTTCCGACTGTGTGCTTTCTTTGTTAACTACTTGTTGCTAATCATGAGAGCATTGCCATTCAACGAAAATGGTTCGTTTAATGGAATTTTTATTGTTCAATGGTCAAGTACCATGAACAATATAATTTATTGTCAAAAACCCAGAAGGCACATCAAAATGTGGCTGGTGATTTGGTTTCAGGCGCATACACGACCACACGTACTCATAACAATGGATCACAACTCTTGTTTTGGGAAAGGCACTTGAGAAGGCTCTCAAATTCTGTGACCATTCTTCTACAATCCAACCCAAGACTTATGTTCAAAGTCCCGAAAGCCACCTTTCCATACTTCTCAATGTCAACACCATCACCCCTATGGGATTCACTGGTTCAGTCCCTGGTCAATGATTCAATGAAAAAGGTTATGCCTGTTGTACTAACAGAGAGGAAGGATGAAGAGGAATTAGCTATCACATCACTCGTCACTGGCAATTTTTATAATGTTAGGGATTTGGAGGGATTAAATGAGGAGCATATATCTCGAATTTTCGATGTGTACGTGCATGTTGGTGGATATGTTCCTAAAATATTTGGAAATTTAGTAAATGGGGCACACTTGGCAGTTGCTGGTTGTGGCAGAGAGGCAGCAAATGCAAAGTATTCAGACTGGGTGAGGTAATAGTGTAATACCAAACAAATTTATATTTCTAGCCATGTCCTGTCATTTGTTTTCTGCGAGGATTTGTTAAGGACATTATAATCAGAATTGATGTAGATTGAATATGTAGGAGGATAAACACAGTTAAACTTTCTTTGATTAGTACTTGTTTTAATTTCCTTTTTTTGGTAGGCAGAGGAAGCTTTTGGAGAAGTTGAAGTCTCCTTCAGTTGATGAGCTTTTGTTGTCGAACGATGGAGATGCAATTTTGGAGGGCTGTTTGACAAACTTTTTTGTGGTCTGTTGCAAGGTGAAAGATTAAATCACAGGTTTTCAATTTGTTTTAGTCCGAATATTTTAATTTGTGCATTCGATCAGTTGATCATTCCTATATGCCTCTAACATGAGATCGGTAATATTAACTTCAACAAATGTAAATCTTGATGCCTTGTGTTAGAGTGTGGTTCTAAGCCAAATTCTCCCACCGTCCCAAATAGATGTCACTTTATGGTAATCGAAGCTTGACTGAAATTATTTTCAATTCAAATTAGTTATGTACTTATGTGTTGGTGTAAGATTCAAAAATAAAATTCATATATTTAAAAACTGCATAAAAAATCTACAAAACAAGAGATAACATGGCTATTTTATTTTACGGAATGAGTAACAAAAAAATGCAATGAAGGAGGATAAAGTTTGACCCATGAATAGTGGATATTTACTTCCATTTTGGGACGTAGGGAGTCATAATCACAAAGAGTGTGCCTACTATAATCAGAAAGTTTGTGAATCTTGACTCTATTATTAATTTATTATGCGTTATGCAAGCATGTCCATAAAAGGCACTGTTGTGGACAACGTGTCCTCGCTTAGCAATGGTCAGGGGAAGGACATGACTTGAGTCCGTGACCCCACGACAAACTTTTTCCTTGAGAACATAGAATTGACGGTTCAAACATCAAAACTTTCTCACCTTCTTCCTTTTGTACTGAGTCAAACCCTGAATATGTATCATTATAGAACTGCAATAAGCCAACAAGTTAAACACAAATCTATTTTGCATTCTAGTAGTATGAAATTTATTGGCTTCTCAATATTAATGAAGACATGGGTTGCTTGACAGGAAGAGAAAGGAGACACGGACTGCTTTGAAATACAGACAGCCCCCCTCAGTGATGGTGTTCTTCCCGGAGTTATACGCCAAGTAATTTTTGAGTGAGTTTCTTGTAGATTTGAGTTCATTTATACCATATCGAGTATCTTTTGGTTAGTAATATATTATAAGTTTGTCCCAGTATATGCTCAAGAAATGGATTTCCACTCCGAGAAGTTGCACCATCATGGTCAAAGCACAAAACATGGAAAGAAGCATTCATTACGAGTATGTTTTTTGATTTTGTAAGCTCAAGCTTTAAATTTTGTGATGAGTATCCAATACAATCGAGAATAAGAATAGAGGAGAGAAAGAAGATCAGAACAATTTTCTTCACACTCCATAATAAAAAAAAGGACATCTCTATATAGCCTTACAAACCAGACACAAAATGAAAATAACTACCCACTACTTTGTTCCACTACTCTATCCTTATTGACCCATTATCCCACTGGGTTAGGACATGGCAAACAAGTAACCCACTAATAGACTTAGTAAACTGGAAATTGGAACATGATGCAATTTGATATTAATTGGTTTTATTGAATAATGAAGGTTCCATTCCTATATATAGAGAATACAAGAGAGAATCCTAATTGATGGTCCCTACCCCCCCTCGCCACCTTCCCTCCCCTTCGCCGATTGGCTACATTAACTACTGTAACCAATCGGCAAAGGGGAGGGGGCCGGGGGGGTTGGGGGAGTAGGAGCCATCAATTTTTTGAACGGAGCATCGTAGGAGGCTCGGGTCATACTATGACATTAGAAGCCAATGTCACATTAACCGTGCCACAAGAACAAATATAGAAGTAACGAAATAAGGAAAGCAATTAATAATAATATCTTGTTTCCTATTACTTCTGAGCTGCATGGCTTTTGATGTGCTAGTAATTATATGTTTGTGGCAGATAGCTTGAGAGTAATGCAACATGTGGTGACAATTCAGTTTCCAGAATCAATGGAATCGCTTAAAGATAAAACCTGGAATGATGTGATATGGGAGAAGAAAATGTTTGAGGTACCATACCATTCATACATGCTTAGGAACATAATTGGCTCACTCCGCGTGTGTGTTGTCCATCTTTATTCTTTCCTTTTTCTATCCGTCTTAAAATTATCTTCACCTTCCGTTAAAGGAAAGGATTTTGTGGGCAATATCATTCTATCCCCACTTTATAAAACAAAACCGTTTACTGCCAAAGCTGAAGTAAAATAAGGGATAAAGGGAGTATTCCGAGTATTACATTATTGTCAAGTTGGCTTTTACCTGATGCCTCCCTCCTCTTACATGAATATGATGAATTAGGGTACCCCTGGGAAAATCACAACCCTCATACAGGTAAGTTCAACACATTTCATTTTTTCGTCTCTCTTTGTTAGACATTTCTTTATTCTTGTCTCCTCCCCGGACTCCTACTTTCTGCGAGATTTTACGGGGTTTGTTTGTCGTTTTTGTAGGAGGAGATCATGAAATTTGCGGAGGTAGAGGCGTATCCGGTTGCTCTTTTCAATGACTAATTGCCTCTCTATTACGAGAGGTACTTCCATAACCCAGAATTGAGCCAAGGAATAATGAAGAGGAGTTCATGGTGATTATAATTCATGATCTGGTTTTAAACCTTTAGTACTTAGTAACTAGTCACCATATCTAGGAAGAGTGAAATAGATTACTCCTACTTGGATCATATTACTCTATATAAGATTGAAAACTTATACTCCGTAGTATAATAATTGAGTAAAAGGGGTAGATAATAATTTTGGGATAGATACAAAAAAACATTGTGAAGATTATTTTAACAAGGATGAAATAGACAAATAGTATTCATTACTCCCTACATCCTATAAAATTTTTAACAGTTTGATTTGTTTGGTCAAATTAGTACACACATTGAGTATTACAGAGTAAAAGATACTCCCTCCGTCCCATTTTATAACGCTTGTTTCGGTTTACGACGTTTGACTGAAATTATTTTCAAATCATTTTATATGACAAATGGTATTTAGTTAAAAAATAAAAATTACATATTAAAATACTATATCAAAAGATCTACAAAACTAGTAGTGACAATAGTATTTTATTTTATCAAATTGCTAACGAAAATTGAGAAAGAAAGTAGATGAAGTTTGACTCTGTGAATAATGAACATGCATTATAATTTGGGACGGAGGGAGTATAATTTTAAATAAATAAATGTTACAGAGTATACAAAATTGACATATCAAAACTACATATTAAAATTAATTCAATTATACAAAATTCATATTATAGCTAAATATACCTTTTCAACCATTTGTGGTCAAAATTTATAAAATTGATTAAAAAAAGTGAAAGTGCAAAGAATTTTATGGGACGCAAAGAGTATTAGTTTTATTTTTATGTTTTATGATATTTTATTTATGACTAATATTGTACTCCTTTTGTCCCTAAAACATTGCAAGAGTTTGATTTTTTTGGTCAAACTGTAATACCTTTTGAATATGGATGAAAATTTAAATATATTTTAAAATAATTAAATATTATAAAAATTTGATATTTTAAAATTATATTTTAAAATAAATCTAATTTTTCTAAATTTACATTATAATTAAATATATTTTTTCCATAAATCATGTAAAAAAATTTCTGCAATTTGACCAAAAAAATCAAACATTGTTAATCTTTTAATGACAAAGAGATTTATAAAAATATTAATTTCGTTAAATGTTAAAATAATACCCAGTATTAGTTTACTAAAAAAAACTGTACTATTTTTTTTTTTGAAATTCTCTTTTCATCTCTTTTTGGTTTTCCGAAAAAGGCGAAAATCTACTCAGGTATACTTATCATTTAATTTAACAAAACGTTCACATTTCTTTTTCTCACTTCTTTTTTTTTTGAAAACTAGGAATTTTGTTTGACCAGTAATTTTGACGTCCGATCTCTCCGTCCCGCCACAACAGATTCTAGCGGTTGCCACAACCCACAGCACATAACTTCGCGCCCAAAACTCATTCAGAAAAAAATATAAAATAAAATAAAAAATGAATTAAAAACTCTCTCTCTCTCTCTCTCCCTCTCCAGGTATGTACCTCGGAGGTTTTAAAAATGGCGAAGTTTAATCCGCTGCATATTCAATCGAATAAAATATTTAATTTGCGTTAATCTGGGATCATGTTTTCAGCCCAGGCCGCTTAGGTCTCGGAAGCGGAGCAGGCTAGGGATGGCGGCAATGCCGGCGGCAGCCGGAAGCCACCGGAGCCCTCCGTCGAAAGCCGCCGAGAGATCCCTTCCGGTTGCAAACGTCGGGCGGATAATGAAGAAGGCCCTCCCTCCCAATGCAAAGATCGGCAAGGACACAAAAGACGTTGTCCGGGAATGCGCCTCCGAGTTCCTCTGCTTCATCACCAGCAAGTATAAATATCTTACTTGTCTCATCATCGTCATCATCCCCTACCTCCCCACCCACATACACTCCGTTATCACACCCTATCCATCTCGATTGGTGTATTGTTCTTAGCTGGACAAGATCGATAAAGTAATCTAACAAAATACACCAATAGAACACATGAATTTTTACGTGAAAACCCAATCGAGAGAAAATCAAGGACCTGTTTTGGTGGTATCTTGCCAACGGGAGATTTTGATTAATATTGGAGGTTATACACGCTACATGATTTGGGCTTAGAAACCATTAATAGAGAACTTCTAAGTCTTGAAGAAGAAGAAAATATACAATAAACAATCTAAAGAGGGAGATGAGCATGGGAGTAGTGTAGTGAGATTGGTCTCCTTTCCAATGAGAGGTCACTCTTCTTTCATAGGTAAGAGAGAGAGCATCTTGGGGCTAAAGCGAAAATAATTATTTAGGGCTTCAAGATGTTAAAAATATAGAATATAATGTTTAAAAAAACATATTGCAGAACTCGCGTGTCATATATGAGTTTAGATGAATTCATACTCGCACTGGACGAGCGTGTGATTAATGCACTCCTAAATTTGGTGCGGAGAGACCATTGATGCCATATTTTTTAAAGTTCAAGGACCATTAATTTTTAAACTTTATGGAAAATTTGCACAATTTTTGAAGAGTTTGGAAGAATATGTATTTCATTACATTGGGTGCCTATATGGATATATATGCCTAGCTAATAAATATATATTAAATATATGTGATTTTGGGTGACTAAACACAAACCAGCTGAGGCCTCATTTTCAATCACAGAGCAAGTGAAAAATGCCAAATGGAGAAAAGGAAGACAATCACCGGAGAGGATTTGATATGGGCAATGGACATCTTAGGATTTGATGACTACGTTGACCCACTCAAAGCCTATTTGACCAAATACAGAGAGGTAAACTCATCTTATTGCTCTTATCAGGCTAAATTTCTTTTATGATAGAATCTCAAGTCTTAATCTTTTTTTTTTAAAAAAAAAAACATGTTTGGCATTATTTTGCGGCAGTCTAGGGAAGCTAGACTGAGATGATTTCGACAGGGATAAAATCTGCGTACACACTCTGTGGGATTTTTAATTACTCGTCTGTTTTTGTTCATAATAGCCTAACTCACTCCTTGATATAATGTGTGTGCATGTTACTTGTGGCTGGTGCCCTTTGATCAACCCAATGCATAGTTTGAGGTACATCTTTCACTCCATCATATAATTACTCTATGGCCCCCGTTTGGTACACGGAATTCAAATTATGGAATTAGAATTGAGGGCTTTAATTCCAATTCTGATGTTTGGTAGCACAAAAATTATGTGGATTTGGAATTGATAGTGCAAAAAATGAATTGGAATTTGCAGAATTGAATTCTATGGAATTGAATCTCATGGAATTTCAATTCCAATTCAATTCCAATTCCATCAATTCCTTATACCAAACGGACCCTATACTAATTTCCATAACATGCAATGTATTAATTAAGGTAGATTCACTTTTTGTGTTGGAAGCATTTTCAGGGAGATAGCAAGGGATCTAATTAATAGAGGATGATTGGAAAAACATAAAATATGAAGTTCAGTACCCGGAAAGAAATACAATATCTGACCGACTGCACCAGTAAGAACTCATTCACCAGTCCATTTTACTTTTTTTCATCCCCAAAAAAAAAAGATTACATTTGTATCCCCCCCCAAAAAAAAAGAAGAGTTATTTGAATAGTATTCGCTAATTTGCATAAGATTTATTGTTTTTTATTTTAAAAAAAATGTTTCAAACAATTACAATAGTTGTACATTACTAAAATTAAAAAGTTGTAGCCTTAAGATTCATAAAATAAAAATTGCACCCTTAGCTTGGAACAACAGTTGTAGCATTAGCTTGGAACAACAGTTGTAGCCTTAAAATTAAAAAAAAAATGTTTCAAACAATTACAATAGTTGCTTCATAAAATAGATTTGCTTAAGATTGAATTTCTTATACATTTCATTATCATAATTGAACCCTAATTCCATTGTTAAAAATAAAAATTGCAGCCTTAGCTTGGAACAACAGCATTTGGGTGTTTTCTGGTGCATATGGGCCCCTTTCTCCAGTTTCTGTTTTTTATTTTTTTTTAAAAAAAACAGATTTGTGTACCTGCATTTATTTTCTAGGACTCTAAGAGTCATTATGTATTCAAGACTCTAATGCTAATTACAAGCGATATTCCTAAACAGACCCCACAAATATTATTAATATGAACAATTCATACCTTCAACAAGCAGAGTAAGAATGGCGACGATTCTCAGGGTACATTATTTGGAAGGATTATTGTTACAAAATGTAAAAATGGGGAATTACTCCGGAGTATTATTAGTCATTAGAAACTAAGCATAACTCTCTAACTAAAGGTTCAGAGACCCCAAATGTACCTAAATACATAAATATGTTCATTCAAATGGCAGACAATGTCCTGGTTTATTGAGCCGGTTTTGTTTCGCCAACTTTAGCCCGCTTCAGTGCTGGGGAATCGAAATCTTTCCCAACTGATTCATCATCTTCGGGAAGTCTTTCGTGTGTGCCCCACTCAGCACTGGTTTCAACAGTGTCCGGTAGTGGTGACAATGTTGTTAGTTCTTCTTTCCCTTCCTTCCTCGTTTTTTCAAACATCATCTGAAGGTACCTCCCCTGTTCTTCTATCCTCAGCTGCAATTTTCTTTGTATCTGCCGGAAAACAAATTTTGAAAGGAAAAACAACCAAGGGCATTTCAGTCACAAAAAATGAGAACCCCTCCGTTTAACTTTACTACCCTTATCAAAACATACCTCAAGTTGTTCGTGAAGCTGCTTCTGTACTTCCATCTGCATCCGTAGCGCTTCTGTTATACCCATACTCCTGTTAAAGCCACATTTCATCTTTGCTTAGTCATCCACAACTGGTTTAGAACTATACTCCCTTCGTCCCAAACCAAACTTGTTTGCTTTTTGAATGGAATTTAGAAATATGAAATTATGTGGTTGAAATTTATAAACAAATAATACGAGCCACGCAATTTTTTCCTAAAAAGGAAATGAAAAGTGCAAAATTTATTTTGGGACATATAAAGGGAGCATGATAGGGGAGAGGGAGAGACACTCACGTTTTCATCTCTATATATGCCGCATCAACAATTCCAGATGGCTTCCCCTCCAACATTCCTGCAAAAAAGATACTTTTAATATTTTAGATTGTATCTTGAAAAAGTGGAGTTCCAGCCCAAGAATTAATACATTGGGTCTATATATTTCTCCAAGGAACAAAAAAAAAGAGGTATTACCCTCTGAGGGCTCTGGTTTGTATTTGGCCGTCCTATACTTCTGGAAGCCAGACAAAAACATTTATAAGAACAATAAGAATTGCAGAGCTTAAGTAATTTAAAAGCACATTCGTATACCTGCAAGTGGCTTTTTACATGATATATAGTCAGCCCTTCAACATTCATGAGTTTAAGTACTGCCTTCGGAGTTGCCCCTATAATACAAAACCATAATAATTCAAATATAAGCTGCAACGCAAACATGAAAATTATGACTAACGCGCAAGTTTATGAAAGCCACTCACTTTCACTACCGCCGAGTTTATTGACAGCTTCTACAAAGACTTCATGAAGTTCGGGTGTCCAACGCATGCGTGGCTTGGGTAGAGCAGCAGCAGCAACAGTGGATGAAGGACTTGCAACAGCACAACTTTGTTCAGCTAGTGTGGGAGTAGGTTGATGTTGAGTTTGGGGTTGTGGAATGATGAGGGGTAAATCGGGCAACGGTAAAAGCAGCTGGCGTACATCATGTGTAAGATCTATGTTTAGTAAGAATGTTTAAAGTATAATGCATGAAAAAAAGTCATTGTCGAGTCCGTAGCTTGTGCATGTGTGCTTTCTATGCTGTGTATATCTAGTCGTTGGTGCCATTTTGAGTGCTTCTTGGAGCTTTCTTATTCTATCTACGTTTTATTAATTTATTTTTGAGCCGGGAGTTTCTTGAAACAACTTCTTCTCCACTTTTTAGTAGGGTTAAGGTCTGTGTACACACACACTCCCCATACCGTACTCCTGCGGGATTTTAATGGGTTTTGCTTGTTTTTTAGGCAGCTGCTTGTCAACTGAGTTGGGGGTCCAGCATTTAATTGTGAGGTAAACCTCACCTCTTGATGATCTTCTTGAAATGAGTTTGGCAAAATAGAATACTCTTTGTCCCAAAAGACCTTTTATACTTTCACTTTTCATCTGTACGAAAAATGCACTTCCACTTTCCATTAAATTCTACGGAGTATCTTTTACCCCTACTAATTATTAACATACCTATCACATCATATCTATTCACTATTAATCTACCCATCACATCCTATCATACCCTACTATAAAGTAAGGGTAAAATTGGAAAGTAACAGAAAAAGTACACATTCCTTAAATCTCTTTTTCCCAAAGCGGAAAACATTTATGGGACGGAGGTAGTACATGTAACTAGTAAAAACACAATCAAGGAGCCGAGGTTGTCGAACAAACCTTGGGGCCTGGATCAGGGACATCGACGTCAAGTAGAAGAAGATCTTTCCAGTTATCATCGTCATCCATTAGCTCGTCTGCCCATTCTTGCCAATCAGCTTTCTTGGCAGCATAGTTGTCTGATGACATCATCACACCCGCAAGTGTTTCAACCTGACCGTTTTGAACCAGAACACTTGTCGAATATTCATTAACAAAACCATGGTTTCCGTCTCTGCTCCAATCATCAATGGTTCTATCCCGGTTAGGAAGGTTTGGTTCTATTGAGGGAAAAACGGGAATAGCAGACATCGGTCCAGAGACACCCATGCCCGTAGTAGCTTCATATGATCTTTGATTAAACAATGTAGGGCGCGCGTTCATCTTAGCTCCATAAACACCGACAACTTAAATTGGTTAAGTACACGAACCAAATCTGTTTTTCCTTTCAGCTTCAGAATTCGACTTGAAATTAGGATCAAATCTCACCTGGTAACGAAACATAATTACAGTTTGACTTTAAACGCGTGCTTAAGATTGATGGGCAAGAAAATCCATGAAAAATAACAACTCGTACAGCAGTACTACTACTACAATTACTACAATAACAAACCAGTAAAACCCCACAAAAGTAGAGTGGGAAGGTGTATTTACACAGAATTTACCCCTACTCTAAAGTAATGAGGCTGTTTTGAAGAGAGACAGACAAAGTAAATACAGTAGCACAAACAAAGTAAGAGCACATAGACATGAAGCATACAAACTGACACTAGCCACTTGATCCAAAACACAGAAAGCATAAATTAGGTTTATGGTCATATCCTTGGTGAGATCAAAGATCCACTTGATCCAAACTACCAACTAAATCTCAAAGATCTACCCAACTACTATAAGCCTAAATCTCCAAATATTCCAATCTATGGTCATATCCTTGGTGAGATCACGAAGTCTGCAAATTAGGTTTTGTATTGTTTCTAAGTGTACAGTACTCCCTCCCTTCCACAAAAACGTCCCATGTTTCTTTTTTCGTATGTTCCAAAAACAGGTTCCACTTTTCCCTTTTGGAAAACACTGGATTTCACTTTCTTTATCAAACATTCAACGTTTTTGTGGAACGTAGGGAGTAGTGAAGTTATCATGGCAATGACTGTAAAATTACCAGCTCTGCCCAAATAATTAGCCTGAAAAATTCCTGCTGCTACAATCTTCTCCAGTTCTCCTAAGAAAAGACCTCTAACACCAACAAAAAATTGAAAGAATATCCCAATTCTTCCAAACTCCAAGGAACAAAGTCAACAAACTAAAATCAGAATAAGCTTTGGAAACCCAACTTGTGACACCAACAAACCAAAGCAAACACAAACAATAACTGTCTGTGTTTGCCTTTAGTGTGATGTCACAAGTGGGGTTTTCCTAGCAATGCACAACTAAAATCTTTTTCTACTGCAGATTTTCTTTCTTTTACAGAAACCCATTATCGGCCCAGTTCAGAAATCAAAAAAGAAAAATAAATCCAATTGAAAGATGATAAAGAGTGGAATTTGATACTGGAGAAATCGTGTTACCACAAGAAGCAATCATGTCAGAGAAATATATAGAAGTGGGTATGAACAAAATTGTATCTTTTAGCGTGAAAATGGAGGAAGACAAGAAAGGAAGATTAGAACTGAACCTTAAGAACAGGTGTCTCAGCAGAGTTCCGGCGGCGGCTGACGAATCGGGACTGGGGAAGCTCCGGTGAGAGACCCAAGGAAAATTTGTGCTCCTCAGAAAGGACAAAAAGATTCGACTCAATCAATAAGTGGTGTTTAATCAGTAGTCCTCAATTTGATTAGCATACTAAAGTAAGGATCTTTTTTTGGTTACTTAAACAAGATGGGAAGAGTTTTGGCAGGGTATACCAACATTTGTACATTAATTGTACATCATGTTTTTTAAAGATAATAAATTAATAATTGTTTACGACTATATAAATGATTATTGTCTATGTGTGTCTATGAAACACGTGGTGTACAAATCTTTACGTACCTCTAACTCTTTTGAGATAGGAATTCTAACGCAATGAAGACAACTTTTGCGTACTCAAAAAACAATAGAGAGACTTCTCCCTTGATTATGACAAATTGTATGATACAACTCGATCTAGTTCATTTTGGTACATCATATCACACTTGTAATTAAAAAATATTTTAAAACGAAACTTGCATTGCTTTAGAAGAAACACTACATTGTTTCAAAATAAACATGTTTCATAATGAGGACTATGCTAAACATACTTCAGAATAAAGAGTATAGTTCAAAATAAATATTCTGCGGGTGTACCTAACTCTACGTACAGCTAAGTGTACAATATACATTCTCTTGACTATGACTGGACGACCATTCCCCAAGATTTATGGACAAGTTTGATTCTAGTGTAGGCAAAAATATTGGATCATTTGTGTCATTAAGTTAAAAAACTATAAACAAATACAACATTCTAATAGAGTAATAATGCTAAAAAATATGTCTTTATCATGAGTGAACATGGCAGCGTTTGAGACAAGATTTAGCTTGTAGTGATACTGTACCAAATATTTTGATTTGGTATGATATTTTATATTATTCTGATCTCAATCCCGAAATATCAGTTTAGGATGATTCAAGATGTGTTTCGGTACAAATTGCGATGAATACACATATATCTATTTTACATTTAAAAATGTCGTACGTAAATGTATATAAAAAAAGAAAGTGCATTTAAAGCAATAAATATGAAAATTTGAAAAATGAATAGTTAAGGTGCAAGAAATACTTATGAAATTTAGTTTATATTTCACAGAAAGAAAGTGTGAATGATAACAAAATACTACATACGTAGTAGATGAGAACTCTTATTAATGTTTTTTATTTGATCTAAAGAAAATTAAAATTTAAATAAAGTACAATTCACACATTTTTATACCACTTCGAAGTACCAAACTGATTTTCAATCTAGTTTCTTTTTTTGTGATATGGTTTGATACTTTTTAGTTCGTTTTTACAGTACTTTTTAAAATATTTCTAGATCGATTCGTGAATTGCTCACTCCTAGTATACATTGCCAAAGACATTGTGTTGTGTCACATAATTCTCACTTATCCATATGAGACATCACGTGTTCGAGATTCAATAGACCTATAATTAATTTTAGGAATAACATATAGTTCACCAATTTATAACTCTTCTATAAATAAATTATTACTTGGTATTATATACTTTACACTTTTAAATATTTTTAATCGAATTTTTGTGAAGAAAGAATTCCCTAGATAAGAGTAAAAAAAACTATAAAAATACAAAATAAAAAACGTAAATCTTTTAAGAATAAAATGGGAGTTCACATAACCATTGTTATACTACCACAATCACCACATTGTCACATTTTAATTTCCAAACTATCATTCTCACACTACTATTTGTCACCGCCAACCACTAGAGTACCATCGTAGATCATCCACAGTTGATTGATCCATTGTTATATTACACTGTCATCAGTTTTTCATTACACTGCCAATGCATATTCTTACATCGCACTGTCATTATACTCTTATTTTGATCTTAAAAGACTTAGAACTCATATTTTGGTATTTTTAGTACATTTTTACTCTTATCCGGGGTTTTTTATTTGTGAAAGTCAAGGTGAGACAATCTTTATGGGACAAAAAAAATACTGTGGTAAAAAATATATAATATTCTCCTTTAAAAAATGTATAATATTCTACAAAACGAAAGATAATACTCCCTCCGTCCCCCTGTATTTGTCCACTTTCATTTTTGCACACCATCCAATGCACTTCTTTAATCCATTTTATCTTGTAATTTGTATATTGAAAAATTATAAAAATTATATATTAATAATCTATATGTTAAGACAAATCAAACAAGATCACACATGACTATATTTAGGCTTACACATTGAGAGAATTTGATGAGTCAAAGTGCTTAGATGAACAGTTCCAAAAGTCAAATGTGGACAAATACAGGGGGACGGAGGGAGTACTAGACTTTCCTAAAAAACAGATAATACTAGACTATATACTCGTAATTTTTTTATCAAATAGGTAATGAAAATAAACAAAAAAGAAAGCAAAAATTTTATTTGATTATGTGAATAGTGAATACAAATTTCTTGAGACGGAATTAGTATTTAGTTTTTAGAATGAGTTATAAAAAATATACTCCGTATGGCTCAAAACTAAAGTCTATTTTGATTTTTTTGTCAAACTATGACATTATTTAAATATAGATTGTTAAATAAATGATATGATAATATGAAAATTTGATTCTACGTATATGAAAAAATTATATCTTAAAATAAATCTAATTATATTAAGTTTATATTTCATATAAAAAGAAGTTTACATTATAACTAACTAAATACATTTTTTCAATTTATGGTGAAATGGTGTCATAAATTGACAAAAAAATCAAAACTGATTCTAATCATGCGACAGATGGAGTATGATTAAAATCAATTCAGTGAGAGAAACGGTACTCGCTCCATCATAGAGGATTTGTTCAATTTTGACTTTTTGGACTCAATAAGGATCAGTCTTTATTTGACAAATAATTAAATAAAACTACATTGTATATTATTGATGGATTAGGGATTTTTCCTAATCCAATATTATTTGAACAGTGCAAGAAAGCCTAATTTTATATGGCCCAAGATATAAATCAGATAAATTATTCAAGACAAAACCAGAGGTATATGGACAAAAGAATATATTTGAGGTGATATAAAAATATTCTGTGGAGCCCATATACAAAACATGTGCACATGGAGGTGACATGGCCACCTCATGGCATTGTTGGGGATGTATGCATGTACTCCCCTTTAAATACAAGGCTACGTAGGACGGAAAGGGGGAGGCCAAGGCTAGATTTCTACAAGTTTCTATTACTATATTCTTCATTCTTCTTCTTCTTTTAGCTTGGAGCTCCATTAATGACTCCAAGTTCCTACAATGATGTATATGTAAACTCCCCCGAGGTTAATAAAAGTTTCTCCCCCTTTGGCATGGCACCGCCTAAAAAGGCCCGTGGTTTTCTCCCGATTTGGGTTTCCATGTATAAATACTTTCTCTCCGCTTTATTTATTTACTTAATTTCCGGATTTCGCTATTCGGTGCGGTGCCGACCCGGTACCGATTTCATCGGGTCGACGCCCCAAAAAAGCGGTTTCCATCAATTATATAGATAAAATAATATTTTGATAATATTTGATAAGATAAATATAATAAAATTATTATTCAATCAACATTTTATATAAATTTTATTTAATTTATGATCAAAGTTTATAAATTTTGAATGTAAAAAAAATAAAACTGCACAACTAGTGTAGAACTAAGATGATATGAATCACTCCATCCGTTATATCATTGAATATATTTGACCTTTTTTTTGTTGTTAAACTTTGATTATGGATGGAGTATGAATTGCACCTAAATCCGTCTATTTAATCACTAGTTTCACTACACTCCGTCAAATTTGGTCTTAAACTGCTTCATAGTCTATTGAAAAATTTCATTTACCCATCAAAAACTACATTGTAATATAGTTAATAATATTAAAAATAATATCTATATAGCAATTTATTATATACTATCTCCGTTTCACTGTCTTTGTCCAATTTTGACTTTTGGAATTGTTCATCTAAGAAATTTGACTCATCAAATTCTCTCAATGTGTAAGCCTAAATATAGTCATGTGTGATCTTGTTTGATTTGTCTTAACATATAGATTATTAATATATAATTTATATAATTTTTTAATATAAAAATTACAAGATAAAATGGATTAAAGAAGTGCATTGGATGGTGTGCCAAAAGGTAAGTGGACAAAGACAGTGGGACGGAGGGAGTATGATGTTTGTATATCGAAACATGACTTATAATGTCAAAATAGTGAAAACACAATACAATAAAACATTATGAAATATGAACATGGAATGCCAAATGATGTCGTCCCCGGCACTAAGAGACCCGATGTACCCTCGGGACCCAACCATTGATCGGGCCATACTTAGGAGGGACTTCTATCCTTGAGGGATAATTGGAGGACATGATATGAATTACTTTGGCTCGACTTAGTCACTTCAAGATCATCTATCGTCAATGACATCCGTACGAGATATTAAATGTGAAGGCGACACCTAACACGTGCACACATTGCTGGCGGGAACATCAGAACGTATGGACCAATAGTTTTCTGCCACGTCTTCCATCGTGTCTACAACTATTTCCACTACAATTGGCCAATGGAGGGAAGGAGGAAACTGATCGGATTCTGGAGAGAGAGAGAGAGAGAGAGAGAGAGAAGAGTAGAGTGTAGGGAGAGAAAAATATCGTTGACTTTGATCATAATCTGTACTCAGACTAGGGCTCTCGAGCCACCCGCAGATTATGTAAAATAAGAAACCCGGGAGATGCTAGGGGTACACCAAAAGGTGTACCCCATTTGTACACCACCCCCTCCATAACCACTCATTTATTTTTTCTTTTTATTTACTTAATTTTTTAAAAATTTCTTGCTTATTTAAATGGTAATGGAGGGAGTGGGGGACAAATGGGGTACACCTTTGGTGTACCCCTAGCATTTTCCCAAGAAACCCACATATGTATACATATAGAAACACCTTTCAATTTTCTCCTTATATTTTATTCTCTCCTTTTCGTCTTTACTCCGGTCCAAACGAAGCCACTCACGTCTTTCCCTCGCGACAATAGTGGGGCGGTTTTCCTTGTCCCTCACGGCAGCATGACGCTGCCAATTAGAATCATACTAGTAGGGGCATGTGAGTTAGAGTGAATAGTGGTGAAATGCTCTAGGTAGTCTAACAAAAACTATGAATCTTTTATTTCATTCATCTCAAATTCTTTGTTATATTTCTTTTTCAACTATCACGATAATTTTTGTTTACTTGTATCTTCTCATTGAATTGAAAAACTTGATATTTTGTTTCATTTTTTGAAATGTGGTAAACATTTACACAAAGAATAAATAAATTACATCATCCTTTACAAAATTAGAAGACCGTGTGGATGTACACTTGACACATCCTCAAGCCGACGCCCATGCATCAAAATAAATATGAATAATTGAATATGGCTTAACCAATTAGGGCACCCTATAGTCTTTGTAACAAAACTATGATTAATTAAAATCCTATTTACTTTTTTTTTCATGTACCATTTTGAGGGACTTTCGAAGAAAAGATTCATCTTTTGTTTTTTTAATCTTTTTCTCATTGGTCGTCGGGTCGGACCCACAGATGAGCCTGAACTCCACCCCGTACGCATTTCCGAAACACGACAACAATCCCCCACCACCGGAGCGGCCCCGGCGATGATGGTGCCGGCGGTGATGGTTCGACGACAATCCTGTTTTATCCCCCCACGACCCCGACCGGCTGTGACCTTTTACGGCCATCGGAATCAACGCCACATCCCTCTTCGCTCCCTCCGGGTAACAATCCTTGTTCGGCGTCTTGGTCTCTCCCGGGAGGGGCCAGTTCTCGAATATGGAGCTCCCGTACTCCTCCTCTTCCCCTCCGGAAAAATAACCTTTCATCAAGTCCGCCGCCACCTCCGACGGCAAGGGGTGCATGCCGGAGACGTAGGAGGCGCTGAAAGACGGGCGGCAGTTTTTCTCGATCTCGTCGTCCTCTTTATCGGACACGATCCGGGCGCTCTTTGTCCGCTTTAGGTTTCCATGGTCGCAATCGAGCGGATTCTCCGGCGTTTTATTTATCTCCTCGGTTTCTCCACAGATTTTGGATCTCTCTGAAACACCATTGAAAACGCTGGATGAAAGGGAAAAAGAAATTAGGGCAATTGTTCAATAACATTATTTCAAAAATTAAAATTGATGAAATTAATTCGAAACAGAGCAGAAATCGAAACCTACCTTTTACTTTCAGCGTCGTCTACATCTTCAAAATTATCGGCCTTGGACGGTTCTGCCCTCCCATCGCAGCCGCCTTCTTGCAATCGGATCGTAACGTTTAGGGTTCCTCGCAAATGCCCGGTCGGCCGGCGAATCGGCAGGGCGGCGTGTCGAACGGCGGAATTGTTGGCCGAGAGCGGCGGGAAGAAGCTGTTCAACGCGAGCGTGGCCGTCCCGATCGGAGTGTCGCGCAGCCACGCGACGTTATAGATCTCGAAATTGACGGCGCCGGAACCGAGAATCCGGTCGTCGAGGCGGAAGACGAGCCGGTAATTCCACGTGGGATTAGTGCGGCCGTCGTGGTCGATCCTCGTCGTTAGCTTGCGGCCGGAATCTAGCCACACGACGACGTACGAGCGCAGCGTTTTGGATACGGGAGGGAGGTCGTGGGCGGAGATCAGGTTGATTTCCATGAGGTTGTAGGCGGGTTGAGGGCGGAGCATTTTGTTCTAGGAAAGGTGGCCGGAAGATGGCCGTCGTCGCCGGTGAACGTTCGACGACCAATACATGTGGAAAGTTAGAAAGGTAATTGGGCATTATGTATGGAAGGGTATTTTCATTGCAATTTTCATTACAAAATAATGTCACATTATAAACAACCAATAGTGGAAAATGTAACAATCTAATAAAATTGTTATCGTTTGTACAAATTGAATTCATCCACTAATATAAAAATTTTAAAAAACTATATATTTTAATATGTAAAATAATATAATAAAAATAAGATTATACTTTTATTTCTTTTCTTATTTCTCATTTAGTCATTTCTAATGTACTTCTTTCGGTCTTAAAAATCTTTTATGTTTTGACTTTTTTTAAATGATGATATATTTTGAATATAAATTAAACATAATTTAAATAAATCAATGATATAAAAATTTGATAAATCAAAACTATATCTTAAGATTAACTCAATTATATTAAATTTATATTGTAATTTAGTACTCCATCCGTCCCGTTAAGATCTTCTCGTTTTGACTTTTGGCGATTTTTAAGAAGAGTTGAAAAAAGGTGAAAGTTTACCAAAATACCTCTAATGAAAATGGGTGGGGTGTATCAAATAAGGTGGAAAATGTGTAATAAATAAAGTAAGTGGGAGTAGTTGTGGTATTTTAAATGTCAAAAAAAGTGAATGAAAAGATCTATATAGGACAAATAAAAATGATTAATGAGAAAACCTATGGGGGATGGAGGGAGTATATTTTTATCATAATTTGTGTCACTGTTAACAAAAAAAGTCAAACCAGAAATGTCTTTAGAACCCAAGGGAGTATAAACTTACGTATATTTATATAAGTTTTTATAGATATCAAATAGTTACGGAGTATCTTTTTTAAGTGATGCATTCTAATTTTTTTCACCATTCATTACATTGTTAAATATATTTAAAAAGGAATTGAAAATTAAGATATTTAATACGGAGTATATGTATTTTGATATTTATTTATACTTTAGTCCAAACTGCAAGTGCTAGTATTAATTTAAGTATTTTAAAAATAAATCTCATAATCCATTGTGTTAATTTGAATTCGATGATATTAGGTCATGAACACTTAGTTATCAATCCAAACTCAAACTTACTTGAATGCGGTGTAACCTGAATTTGAAGTGATCGAACTCAAATCTGACTTCAAATCTGACCGACTAATTTGCCAATTTTATAAATATCTACGTGAAATATACAACTTTTTTGTCTTTTTAAATTTAATGTTTTTCTTTCAATCGTGCTAAACTTGGTTAAATAAAATGTGACCACAACCACGAGCGTGAAACTTGGTTAAATAAAATGTTTTTCTTTAAATTATTTTTTATTTGCATGATCAACTCCGTGACCACAACCACGAGCGTGAAACAAAAGTCGATGTGTTCTTATTCTTTTTATTGCTGAGTAGTATTTTGTTCTTTTTAGCAAAATTTTGAAATATGTTTTTTAGATTCAATTTTTTTAGTTTTTTAGTAAATTTTTATTTAAGAGATGTTTAAAAAATTATTTAATTTCTTTATATAAAAAATAGATAGAGTTTAATTTGAATATAATATTTTAATTTAAATAGGTATATTATTTAAGAGATTGTATTTTTTCGGGGTGCAATAATTTGTTATAATATAAAAAAGGAAAAATATTAATAACGAAAAAAATAATAACGAAAATATAATAAAAATGATGAAATAAATTAGTTTTGTTTTGTATTATTAATTTATAAATGATATAATTTAATTTGAATATAAAAAGTAATTATTTTTTTAAAAATAAAAATATAATCATTGCAGTGGTGATGAAGCATTACAAGTGTGAAGTAAGTGGGATGATGAGTATAGTCAGTGATGATGTGGCACTCAATAGCTGCTGATTTGGAGTGAGCGGTGGTGAGACACTACAGATAGCCGTACACACATGTGACTAGTTTTTTTAAAACAAGTCCATTTAATTTATCGTGCTTTTGGTTTTTGAGCTTACTCAAGCTGTTCAAAATGGTATTTTTCACTCTACACTAAACAAGACTTCCGACAACAACAACAATCCAGTTGAATCCTACAAGAGTAAGACCTAGGGAGGGTGTGTGTACGCACCCTCCCTAACTACTACGAAGTATTTCATTAATTAAAACGTTGATAATTTAAAGATTCATTTTGATTTAATCAATCATATTTGAAAGCCGAAAAATAATGAAATTTTACGTAGTTAAACTATTATAGCATGATCAAATACACTTATCCTTCGAAGTCAAAAGGTACATTCTATTTTTTTGATCTAATTGTGTCACACTTAATCAATATTCAAGTGACATTTTCTATGGAGACTATATAAGGAATAAATTCTAATTGAGAACTGAATTAGAAAAACATCTTATTAAAAAGAATTATTTTGGAAATTTACTCAAATACTATTAAGAATAGTAAATATATTCTATCACTCTCGTCTAAAGGTCCATAAATAATAACTATGTAGATTCTGATCTCATCTAAAGGTCCATAGTAAATATTTATCCATCACTCTCATTTAAAAGTCCTCTTTCATCTTTTCTCTCTTAGGTTGCATGTAAGTGAGACTTATTAATAGTACCTTATCTTTGGATGAAAACAATAAAATGAGACCGATCTCTCGAGTTTGAATCATCCCGAGTCAAAATCTTCTCTCCTTTTTCATTTATTTATTCGAATGATAGGACTCTAAAATGAAACATTTCATTGGAGACGAGAGTTTCACTTTTTTAATAATTCTACATGTAATCTTAAATTTATAAATGAGACTCTTACTTGGAATTCATCGGAGGACATGTTCTAAGTCTACTAGAGTATTTATTGACAAATAAAGTTAGAGATAATTTTTATCTAAAAAAAGTTTAATCCCAACTCTTATCATCATTCACTACTTACTTGATTAATAGATTGATCGAAGATAAATAAAGATATAATGATCGATAAGAAGTGAAGTTTGTCAGTACTACGTGCAAAACTTTTATACAAATAATGATTATTATTTATTGTCGTTGTTAAGGTTGGAACTTCAATTTTTCATTTGACAATGACAACTAGTTAAGAGTAAATTTCATAAATAAACCTAATTATAGATGATTTTTAATATTTAATTATCAATCATAAGATAAGATATAATTAAATGATTACCATTTTTTAAAAACTATTACATAAATAGTTCTTTAAACCAAATATATCAAAATATTTTTTCCATATATAGTCCTTGAATTGAAGGAGTGATTGTGAAATTATTTTTAAAAATTAAGAATCGTTTATGTAATAGATTAGAGTTCCAGACTAAATATAGAAAATAATATTTAAAAAATATTTAATTAAGAATCATTTATGAAATTTAGTTAGAAAAAAAAACAAAAAAAAAAACTAAAGGAGAGACTAGGAGACCAACAAGGAACCAATGGCGGGAAACAATTCAGGGTTAGCGAAACACCATAAGCACCTCACATCTTCAAAAAGTAAAAGACTGCATCTCCCTCCCTCCCTCCCTCCCCCGCCCGGATCTCTTTCAATGCCAACACTTTAGAGCTCGCTCTCCGCAATCCGCCGCTGACGCCGGCGAAACCGATGGATTCTTCCGCCACCGTCACGTCAGCGGCTTCCTCCGCCGTCACCGCCTCCTTCCCTCCGCCTTCCAACCACCGCATCCTGGAAATCACCCTCATCTCCGCCCAAGACCTGGCCCCCATCTCCAAGGCCCAGCGGACCTACGCTCTGATTTGGGTCAACCCGAATAAGAAACGGAGCACCGGAATCGACCCCAAGGGCCACACCAATCCCACCTGGAACCACAAGTTCTCCTTCCGGGTCGACGACGAATTCCTCCGCTCCGATGATTCCGCCGTCACCGTCGAGATCTACGCCGTCGCGTGGTTCCGGGACGTCCTCGTCGGGTCGGTCCGCATCAACGTCAACCACATCCTGGCTCCCCACGCGCCGGAGATGAAAAACGAGAGGTTCATGGGTCTCCAGATCCGACGGCCGTCCGGCGATCCCCAGGGGATGCTCAACATGGGCGTTTCCCTCTTCGACTCCGCCGCGCGCGGGACCCCGATCTGCAGCGACGTCAGCGCGTCGTCTTCGGATTGCCGAGATCTTCTGGAGAAGAAAATGAACAACCTCCTGAAAGACGGCGGCGAGATCACCGAGGACTTCCCGGCGAATCCGGGCTCTGTCTGCAACGGGTCGGCGCTCTGCGGCGGNTGGGTCTCCAGATCCGACGGCCGTCCGGCGATCCCCAGGGGATGCTCAACATGGGCGTTTCCCTCTTCGACTCCGCCGCGCGCGGGACCCCGATCTGCAGCGACGTCAGCGCGTCGTCTTCGGACTGCCGGGATCTTCTGGAGAAGAAGATGAACAACTTCTTGAAAGACGGCGGCGAGATCACCGAGGACTTCCCGGCGAATCCGGGCTCTGTCTGCAACGGGTCGGCGCTCTGCGGCGGATCCGAAGTCTGCTCGGACATCGGGCCTTCCGCTTCTCTCGTGGCGGCGGAGATAGCCCGGAAGTCGAACCCACCGGCGGCGCAGGGCAGCGCCGGGCCGCAGAGCCGGAAAAGCGAAGGGGAGAGCCTGATACTGGAGGAACTGACGGCGGAGGAAGCGGCGGCGAAAGGGATGACGACGAATCAGGCGGCGGCGGCGGTGAAGAAGAAGGGACGCCTATTCTCGTGCTTCGGAAATGCTTACGGTTTTGAGGTCACCATTGTTTGCGGCGCAAGAAAGAAGCAGAAAAGCGATTGAATTCAACCACAAAGTCTGCAAATTTTTTTCTTTAGTCTTTCAAAATCTGATTACTTTCTTTCTTCATTGTTATTTTGTACAGCTAAATTAAACCAGAAATTATAACACGCCGGCGGCCGTTTTTTTCCTCCTGTATTAAAAAACATATTATGGGTTTTTTTTTTCTTTTCTTTCTCTAGTGTGATTAAGAACTGCATCAACAGTTATGTTGAGAATTATGGGGTACGTACGTAATTAGTTCAGGTTTGGAGCTTTAATTAATTAATTAATTGTAGGACGACTTTGTTGAATATATAAGAATCTTACTTCTCTCGTGCTCTGGTCGCATTTTTTTTTTCTTCCATAGTTTTTAAACTCCATGAAATTCTACCTCATTTTGTACGTCGTTGGGATGCACCGATATTTTGTGTTGATATAATGCTAATTTTTGTTAATGAACCAGCACTTTGTATCGGTGTAAATTTTTGTTAACGCACCGACACTTTGTGTCAGTGTGAAGTATCAAAATGTTGTGCATATCTTTGATGTACAAATGTAGTACAAATTTTAGAGTACATGCAGCATACTCCTTTAAACATTGAGCATTTTATGATGTTAGGCCCTAAATGGAGAGCTAGGACACGGGACGGAGAAGCATTGTGATTGCAGGTGGGTGACGAGCGTCTTAGTCTAAAAAAAGTCCTTAGAATTGAAACTTCCAACAAAGATATTCATTTTTAGTTTTTATTTTATTCCTCATTTTTTGAAGTTCTCGAAATAAGTTTTCAATTTTTTTTAGAAAACAAAAAATAAAAATTATTAATTTTAGACGTGCAAATAAGTTATATGTTAATTCTATTTTCAAAAAAAAATAATTTTAAATTTTAAGAAGATTATGAAAGCAATTTTAAAAAGAAACTTAAAAAACTTTGTTTAATAAAAGAAACAAAAAAAGGAAAAAAATAAATAAAAAAATAAGAATTGAGGACCGGTGCCCTCTATGATTTGAAAAATAGGCACCAATGCCCTTCTTCATCAGAAAAATGGTCAGAAAATGATCAGAGGGGGTATGTATGCAACATTTTAAAACTATGGGGACTTGAAACATAAGTTTTGAAAACTGGAGGTATTTGTGCCTAATTTTTAAACCACGGGGGTACTGATGCTATTTATTTTTTTCTAATTTTAATTTTTTTAAAATTTTAACCCTATAAATTTGACACATCTCCATTTTTTTGTTTCCAATTGTTTTATTTTCAAGTGTATCAATTCACCATTTTTTCTTCATTAGTCCTTTTTTCACCCTTTTCAGAGAAGGAAATTAAGAGAATATGAAGAAATGAGTAGTGATGGTGTAAATTACTTGACCGCTCAAACTATACTAGACCGAGTCTAGAATAGTTTGTTCGATTTGGCAAAGTAAGAAAGATAAAACTACGCAGATTGACCCGTAGGACTTTAGGTGGAACACCTGTAGCCCAATTTATATTACAACGGAGAATGCACGGGTGCTTTTAACAAGGGAGGTCTAGAGAGAATGAATTCGGATCCCCTTCCTCGAGGGTTACATGAGGTATATATACTAAGCTGGGGGGACAGGACCACGTGCACCCACGTGGGGGCATGTTGCTGATGTGGTGCGAGATGACTGTCCCTGAGCCACCTTGTCATCTTGCGAGGGGGATTACCCTCCTTGTCACGTTCTGGCTTGGAAATATTCCTCCAGTATCTCAGCCATGCCAACCACTACAGTCCAAGTCATTTTGGATCCTTCCTGCCGACACTCGTCGACCTTGAAATACTACCCCGGCTGGTCATCGTGGGTTGATTAATGGACTTCGGAAATTGGCTCCACAGACTTGAGTAAGTCGACCGGTATACTATCCGAAGTATACCGGTCAACTTTGCAGTCGATCCGCCGTCTCTTTGCCGCCGATATGGACTTTTCTCTCAAGTTTGACCTTTTTGACCGGTCAACTATCTGGCTCTGATCTCTGACCGGTCATGGGTGAAATACACCCATCATTAAGCCCTCCACTTCTCGGTTATGCAATTTTGTCATAAGCGGGAAGTGAAAATTTAAAACTGGACCTTTAAATTCGAATTTTTGGCTTTTCCCGCTCGAAATTTTTGAATTTCAAAATTCAAAGTGTCAGTTATGACACGTGTGGCGTGCTGGACGACGTCAGACCTGCGCCCTTTCGTCTTCCCAGGCGCAATGATGGCGCCTCCTGACGCGGCGCGCCCTGGTGAAGCCATGTCGCCTCCTTCCCCTTCCTCCTCGCCTATATAAAGGCTTCCATCCCCACTGCCTTCCTCACTTCTTCCTCGCGCGTCTCCCGAGTCTCACCGGTCAATCTCCTCTCTCTCGCCTCTCAGCCTTCCGAGCCAAGTAAGCTCTCTTCGCTTCTTTATTAGCTCTTAGTTTTCATTCCCGGTGAATGTCTTCTTCTCATAGTCAAGGTATTTCTTCCTCGGATGCGTAGGCATCCGAGGAATCCCCAACCTCCTCTTCTTTGACCGGGTCCTCTTTATCCAGTTTCGAGACCCGGTCAGGCCCCAACACCACCGTCCCTGAACCGCAACCTGTTAACCAAATGCCTGGTCAGGTTTCTCAGGAGAGGGATGAACCGGTTGACGATGAGCCGTCTCCCTACGACCCTGACAGCGAGTCGTATGAGAGATGGGTGAACCGGCTGGATGTAGCCGGTTATTTTGCTCTCCCTTCCAGTTACCCGCTCGACATCTATCCCCGGGTCTCTAAGATTGCCCAAAACAAAGCCCGTAGGAATCTCCCGGAGGGGTACGTTCTTGAGTACGATCCCAGTTGGCCCAACATTATCGAGCCTCACCGGGATGATAGGGTAGGTTTCCATATCATTTCTTTGGAAAGTGGCACCGTCTTCCCCCTGCGTCCCCTTCTAGTCGAGTTGTGCCACTGCTTCAAGATTCTCCCCGGGCAACTCACACCCAATGCCCATCGTTTTCTTAATGCTTTTGTAAATATCTGCTCCCATCTCAAAATCGATCCTTCCCTTCGCTTTTTCCTCTATTTGTTTGAAGTCCTTCCCGGTAAGTCGGGTTGCGATGGCTACGTCTACTTCAAGGGCCGTAACGGTCGCCAATTCATTTCTGACCTTCCACAAAGCAACCGGCTATGGAAGGAAAAATTTGTTTTTATAAAATTTCCCACCACGTCTCCCTTGGCCGGCTTGAAGTGGAGTGACCACATCCTGAAGCCGCAATACACCGAGCCGGCTAGTACTCCAGCCTTGGAAGAAAGTTTGGAGAAGCTTCTCCGAGGGGACCCGTTCACCGGGCAGATGTTTCACTACGGGGCTTGGATCTGGCGGATCCAACCGGGTGGCGAGGGTACCTCTATGGCTCATGAGGCAGCGGGGCACGGGGTACCTGCCTTGGGCAACACTGCAGAGGCCGGGGGCCCCAGCCACCCAGGTACCTTTCCTTTCCTCTTTCTTCTTCTTCCTTTTATTATACCGGTTCAAGTTCAAGTACTTATATTTTCGCTTGTTTTGCAGAGATGAACTTCAGAGCGTTCAACATTCCGACAAAGAAGACTGTTGGCTCTTCCTCCACCCCCAGAACTGTACCGGTCCAACAGGAACCGGTGGAGATCCATTCTGAGGAGGAAACTCCTCCAACTGGGAGGACCGGTCAGGCCGGGAAGACCACGGTAAACCCTCCCCTGGACAAGGGGAAGGGGAAGGTCCGGACCAAGCATGCCGCCACCACTCATCCCTCAGCTAAGAGGAGGAGGGGAGAAAATGTCCCGGCTTCAGAGTCGTTAGAGGAGCTCTGGGTAAAGATGGGGCAGAAGTTGAAGAAGGTAAAACTTCTGACCGGTAATTCTTTCTTATGTCTGCCACTTGCTCGCTTATTTTTCTAACCGGCTTGCTCTCAAATTTGCAGATGGGCGAGGTCGGCCCAGAATCTTTAGAGAAGCTCACTGAGGACTCCTCCTCCCGGTCACTTCAGCTGGAGGAGAAGCTGAAGGGAGTCGAAGCCCACAACCGGGAGCTACAGGACCTGATAGCCCGGCAGCTTGATGAGATGGCCAATCTCTCAGCAATTGCCGGGGGACCAAGGCAGAGACTCTCCAGCTGAAGGAAGAGAACCTGAAGCTGATGGAGGACTTGGAGCAGAAGGAGTGAGATTTCCCCGGTAGGGCCAGGCAATGGGTGGGGGAGAACTTGGAGGAGACGGCCCGGGTGATTACCTCTACTCCGGAGGTGACGATGGAGGTCTTCAAGTTCATCTACCGGGAACCCAACGGGAAGGAGATGGTCACCCAGGTTGGGTCTTACGGTTTCATGTCCGGGCAGAAACGAGACGGGGAGGCTACCCATGCAATCTTGGCTGAGCGGGACCCGGCCTTCTCTGCTGATGCTTATGGCCTGGCGCTCATCCCCGATGAAGAACCCGAGCCCCCTTTCCCCTTGGAATGAAATCTCCCGGCCGCGCCCGGTTGAACTATCTTGTAAAACTTTGAATCCATTTCCCCGGGAATGCCCAGTGTAGCTGTAAAACACTTAACTTTTTATTCTGCTTTAATGCAATGCCTAATTTCCATACCGGTTTAGCTTCCATATTTGCCTGCTTAGAATATCTTCGTAGAAATTCTAACCGATACATAAATCAGGCCACTTCTCGATTATTTTTTACCGGTAGAACTTCAAAGTTCTTTTTGATCACTTTATCTGAAGGATTAGCTCGAGTAACTTTGACCGGTTAAACTTCAATCTTTGCTTTTCGAACGTCTTCATCATGGCGGCCAACTTAAAAAGTTTGACCGGCCGAACTTTACTTTGGCCTTTTGGATGGCTTCACAAATTCTTTGGTAAAGTTTAATTTGACCGGTGAATTCCACTCCATGGTTTGACCGGTCAACTGCCTTGCCTTCTGATGGATGTAGAACTTTCGAAATTCTGCTGTGCCCATACCCAACCGGGGTATTCTTTTTTTTTGACCGGTAGGTTGTAGATGGAAACACCCGTAACCTAGTAATTCTTGAAGTATCCTTAACCGGTAAGAATACTGGAGATTTAACCATGTCGAATGGTTTCGAACCCTCTCCAAGGTTCAAATGCACCCTTCTTCCAGGGCCCCCTCTTCCGGCTCAGGTAATTAAGTCTTTTAATGGTCCCACGGGTGGCGCCAAAAATGATGGTGTAAATTACTTGACCGGTCAAACTATACTAGACCGGGTCTAGAATAGTTTGTTCGATTTGGCAAAGTAAGAAAGGTAAAAATACGCAGATTGACCCGTAGGACTTTAGGTGGAACACCTGTAGCCCAATTTATATTATAACGGAGAATGCACGGGTGCTTTTTACAAGGGAGTTCTAGAGAGAATGAATTCGGATCCCCTTCCTCGAGGGTTACATGAGGTATATATACTAAGCTGGGGGGACAGGACCACGTGCACCCACGTGGGGGCATGTTGCTGATGTGGTGCGAGATGACTGTCCCTGAGCCACCTTGTCATCTTGCGAGGGGGATTACCCTCCTTGTCACGTTCTGGCTTGGAAATATTCCTCCAGTATCTCAGCCATGCCAACCACTACAGTCCAAGTCATTTTGGATCCTTTCTGCCGACACTCGTCGACCTTGAAATACTACCCCGGTTGGTCATCGTGGGTTGATTAATGGACTTCGGAAATTGGCTCCACAGACTTGAGTAAGTCGATCGGTATACTATCCGAAGTATACCGGTCAACTTTGCGGTCGATCCGCCGTCTCTTTGCCGCCGATATGGACCTTTCTCTCAAGTTTGACCTTTTTGACCGGTCAACTATCTGGCTCTGATCTCTGACCGGTCATGGGTGAAATACACCCATCAAGTAGGATCAAAATTTAAAGTTAAAACTTAAATATATATGAAATTATAAATAGGTACCAAAATTATATATCTGATTTGTTAAGGTTTCTATCTAAAAATTTATTTCTAAGACCATGAGATGTAGATCAGTGCATCTCTTCCATCACCTCCTCCTCATGCCACTTAGCAATATATTCACTCCGTCCCTAAATCATTTACTTTTTACGTAAAATGAAATAAAATTTTAAATTTTTTAATAATTTTATTTAAAGATTTGTATATAAATAAAAAATAAAATTTACATATTCAAAATAGAAATCACTCTAAATAGGACTAAAACATATTTAAAAAATACTAAAATAGGAGTTCCATGTTTTTATTCCCAAAATAGTGTGGTAATGTGGTTGAAATATGATACCGTACATGTGCCCGATACTATACCTTTTAGTAATGTACTTGACTATGTTTGGTAATGTAAATGCACTTTAACTCATATTTCGATAATAAAAATATGGAAGTCCTATTTAGTATATTTTCAATGTTTAACTCCTACTTTAGTTTTTTCCTATTCAAGAAGTACATCAGAAGTTTTACAAAATAAGAGATGACTAGAATATTTTATTTCATCAAATTGTCAATGAAAAGACACAAATAAACAAACATTTTTGTGATTTTTTAATAGTAAAACATATACTACCTCCGTCCCTGAGTATTCGTCCAGTTTTGATTTTATCGGTCAACTATTTTTAACCTTTGACTTAAAATTAAATTAAATATATACTCCGTAATATATACGGAGTATTAATTCGATAAAATAACACTTTGAAAATATTTGATATAACCTTCCATTCTCTTTCTTTTCCTTTCTAATATTTTTATTTAGATCTATTTTAATTAAAATTATTTGAACTAAAAATATAAAATAAATATTTTGTTAATGTTAAAAGTACATATAAAAAAACTAAAAGTTGATTAAAAACAATTCATCATCGAGATTAAATTTAAAATTAGGTAATAAAAAATATAAATTGCATAATTAAATTAACGAGTTTATTACATACACTAATATATATTCCCTATAGTTTGATAAATGTGCACTGTTATTCTCATGGTGGCAAAACTTACATTGTTGTCCCTATGATTCTGGTATTCTTTTGTCAACGCCTCTATGAACTAAGGTACCTTTAAATGTTATGTCAATAGATCCTCTGTCCCTATGGTTTTGAGATGGTAAGCAACGTTCTGCCCTCTCTCTTTATTACTCCGTATTATTTTTCTTTTTCTTAGATATAAGAAGGGTTAATATGGATGGAGGGATTAAATATTTTATTTTTATTTTCTTCTTAGATATAAAATATCTAAAGTCACCATAGAAGATGTCTTTAGAGTTGTGCTATCGTGGTTCTAAGGTCCGTATATGTAATTAGTGTTGAAACACGGGCTTGTCACGTTTTCGTACTAAAGCCGTGGATGATGGCATGAATCGCCTTCAAATCCTCGTTGAAGAGCGAGGTATGGCTGCTGTCTCGGGGGCGGAGAATCCGGGTGATGATGTAGAGGAGGAGGCGCTTGTCCGGTGGGGCCGAGTGAATCGTCGGTGCGCCGCTGTGGCGGATGAGGTTGGTGATCCCAAGCTCTCAGATGACCACCGCCTCGTTGTTGAGGATCCAATCATCGCCGTCATATGTTGCGATGTCGTCACCGCGGATGGGCAGCTCTGCGACCCGAGCAAAGGTAGGCAAATCAATCTCTATGTCGTAGAGATTGATGCTGCTGCGAATGGTGTCCCCGTCACGGCGGAGATTGGAGTAGAAAGCCCAGACGAAGGCGGGATTGAAGCTCGAGCGGCTCTTGGAGACGAATGGCCACAAACCCGACGCTTGGAGTTGGTTGTCGAGGTCGTGGTACCCTTTGTCTTGGGGAAACAACTCCGGGAGCACGCGAGGTGGAGAGATCGGGCGCTTGGCAAAGTGAGTGAGGAAGCGTGTGAGTTCTTCCTCTAACCCGAACTCAAGAAATGATCCGTCCAAATATGGGAACGGAGGAGGCGCGGAGCTTGAGGGTTCGGCGGTGCTTTTCTTCTTGGAAGCCTTAGACTTTGATCTTCCTCCGGGCATGATTGAGGCGTTTTTGAAGAAAGATTGAAGAAATAAGTGGTATAGGCTAAAGAAATGAAATAATGATGTTAATTGTGTGTTAAGAAGGTAAGGGATGATGTGAATATATAGGGAGGGGAGGAAAAAGACGTGTGAATTCAAAAAATATGGCTGTTGGGCATTAAATTCGGTGCCCAACGGCCATAATTTTTTAATTTCAACAGCCTTCCCAGCGATGGTAGGAACTACCCATCGATGGGAGGGTCGCTACTGGAAAGCGAAGGAGAAAATCAGATTGCCTTCCCAGCGATGTGTGGACTCTCCCATCGATGGGAAGGTGGGTTCTGGAAAGTGAAGGATAAAGGACGAAAGCCTTCCCAGCGATGTTAAGGTTATGCATAAATTGAGGGGGATTTTTTTTTGTAAAATGGCATCTATTAATGGGGAACATTTTTTTCAAAATAATCCTCCTATGCATAACCCCGTATTGTTGCCATTATCAAAAAGGGGGAAATTGTTGAAACACGGGCTTGTCACGTTTTCGTACTAAAGCCGTGTTCGTTTTTGTAACAGGTTTTGATAATGCCAAACCGCCGTGATCAAGTCGAACATTGAATATACAAGGCGAAGAACGAAGATAAGAGCAAGAGCTAAAAACCAAGAACGAAGACCTTAATCATAGTATTGAGTCGGTCTTTATTGTGATCAAGACCGACCCAATCTTTACACCTTGGCTCTTTAGGCTAAAATCTCTCATTGCATGTCTTACATCATAAAAATGTTTTTCAAACTTGTTTAAGTCATTAAAAACACTTGGTGTTCGCCCAAACCAAAAACCAAGTCATCCAGTGTTCGGTTTTCAGAAACCAGCGTTCGGCTTTCGGTTGTCGGGTTTGGTTTTTGGCATCCGAACCAACCAAGTGGTTTTCAGCATTTTATGATCTGCTTTCACTCTTTGGCATGTTTAAACGGTTCTCCAACAAAAACACTTTGAAAACCATCTCTCGTTTTTAGTCGTTTGACAAAAACCACGCAAAACGGCGTAAACTTGGCTAGCCGTGGTTTTTAATCAAATGAAGTGATTTTTAAAGTGTCTCACTTGATTTCTTAGCCAAATACATCAAATAAGTGTTTTAAACGCTTGGTTTTTATTGGCTAGGCCGTGGTTAAGGCAAAAACCACAGGCTTTTGGCTAACCACCCACCCAGCGATGGGAAGAACATCCCATCGATGGGTAAGTAGCCCCTTAGCCAAACCAACTTCCAGAACCATGCCAAACAGCGATGGGAAGCTCTACCCATTGCTGTTCAAGCCTTGGTCCAACATTATCACAAGGCAGAATGCCCTTACTCAGCGATGGGAAGCTTTACCCATCGATGGGAACCCAGCGATGGGAAGGCTAAACCATCGATGGGAAGGCATGACCATTGGAAGTCATTTAAGGTTGATTTTTTCCTTCTTTGGAAGTCAACCTCCCACCCAGCGATGTGAAGCTTGTACCCATCGATGGGTAGGTAACTGGTGACTTCAAAACTGAAGGAAAATTGGCTTACCAGCGATGGGTAAGTTCCAAACATCGATGGGAAGCCAATATCCTGCAGATCCCAAATTTATTCAATCCCATAAATCAAGCCAATCACCATTTTAATGCATTGGTCCGTTGGAGCCTATTTTGGCACTATAAAAAGGGGTGTTTGGGTCTGCTTTTCTTATAAATTCACTTCACAATATTCATATCATCATTGCATTAAAACAACATCATTTTTCATAGCTTTTTAGAGCCAATTTGTGAAGTTTGAGTTGTTCTTGAGCGTATATAGTTTACTCAACATCTACTCTAAAAGAGAGCCTTGTTCTTGAGTGTCTTAGTGTTGTATACACGTTAAGGGAAGCTTGTTTCCCTTGGCTGTACGAAGGAAAGGTATTTTCCTTCGGGTTGAAGTCTTGGAGTGCGGTATCTCCGAGCAAGTGTTGTTGGGGCTCGTGGGACTCGAGTTCTCAGGTTGTAACGGTTTGTTAAGCACCCGTAAGCTTAACGGAAGTAGTGTAGCTCGAGAGAGTCTCTCGGGAGGCTGGATTAGCCACAAGTTGTGGTGAACCAGTGTAAAATTCGGTGTGCCTCTTACTCTTCTCTTTACTTCTCTTTTAAGTTTTTTTATTCCTGCGATTTCTACGATCAAACGCTATTCACCCCTCCTCTAGCATTGGTCACTTATTCTAACAATTGGTATCGGAGCCTAACTCGCGTCTAAACTTAACCGTTTGAGAGTAAAGCGATCATGGGTTCTTCTTCTAGAAATCTTTATGCAGGGATTGGAGAAGGTCAATCAACTACACGGCCACCTCTTTTTTATGGAACCAATTATACATATTGGAAAGAATGAATGAGAATCTATATTCGTTCCACGAACTTCCAATTATGGTTGGTTATCAAAAATGGGGAAGAGGTGCCGATGAAGAAAGTCGGAGACAAGTTGATCCCCAAGACCGAAGACGAGTTTGATGCCGAGGACATCAAAAAGGTCGAGAATTACGCAAAGGCAATAAACATGCTTTATTGTGCCGTAAATCCTGACGACTATCGCAAGATCTCCTGCTGCTCAACCGCCAAGGAGATGTGGGATAAACTTGAGGTGACGTACGAAGGAACGGACCAAGTACGTGAAGCCAAGATTGACTTCCTCACCCAAGAATATGAGATGTTTAGGATGAAGGAGCACGTGAAGATTGACGACATGTTCGACCGATTTTCCAAGATAGTCAACGATCTTCTTGCATTGAAGAGGACTTACACCGACAGGGATCTTGTACGAAAGATCCTACGGAGCTTGACATCCGAATGGCGATCTAAGGCCGATGCCATCTATGAGTCAATCGGCACATCAAATGTCACCATCGACGGTTTAAGAGGTAACTTAAAAACTTATGAATCTACTATACTTAACCCGTCTTTGAATGACTAAAGGAAAGGCATAGCATTAAAAGCCTTCAAAGAACCAACGATGAATGACTCAAGCGACGATGATGAAGTCAAGCTTGTCATGAAGAGGTTTTGCAAATTTCTAAGAAAGAAAGAAAAGGTTGAGGATGGCCCTGTGTGCTATGGATGTGGTGAAGCCGGGAACATCAAGAACAAATGCCCGAGAAACGGAAGGAACACTCGACACTTCAAAAGGCAAAGGGCGTATATCTCTTGGGGTGGAGACTCCGGCGACGAGTCAACCGACCAAGATCTCCTACTTCAACGGTTGGAGACAGAGTACCGTGTGCTTCTGGTTTGGCTGCTACATGTTCTCCATACATGGTAAAGAAGGCTGAGAATCACTTTTGAAGAAATGCAAGAAGCACTTCACGAACTTTATGATGAATTTGTTAGCGCTTCTAAACTGAACAAATCGTTAAAGAAACGCCTTTCCACTCTTGAAAATGATTATGAAAAGTTGGAAAAAGATAATGAGAAGTTGAAACAAGAAAATAAATTTTATGGCAAAAGAAGCGCCAACAAACCTGAAAGTTTCTCAAACGAATGTGAATCTTGTAAAGTTTTAAAGGAACAAGTCACTAGACTTGAGAGTACGGTTAAGAAATTTAATACTCCGCACAAAAATCTTAATTTACTCCTTGACACCATGCATTTTTCTAAAGAAGGAATTGGTTTTGATAAAAATGAATCTAAGGATAAAAACGTTGAGCAAACACCTAGACAACCTCCTAAGGCTCAACATGAGAAAAGTAAAAATCAGGATAATAGAAAATCTAGTCAACCTAAGGACACTAGACAACCTAGACAATGACTCCGCGAAGTTATATTGACCCCCACTTTGGGTGTCATAATATGACACAAGTATTTTATAATATTCTGGTAAAAAAATTAATAGTTCTTATCCTTTAATCTTTTTTGATGAATCCCAAGCCCAAACCAACTCCTATACATCCTATTCAATTGTATCCCGCACGTTTTGTTATTTTAGAGGTCAAATTTGGATCCTTAAGTCAATAATTTTTTCACATTTCAAGTTTTGAATTGGTATTATATTATGATTTTGGGGAATGTCATTATAAATTTAATCAAATTTGGAATGGGAAGAAAGTTGATTTTGTTTTTGAGTATATTCCTTAAGCGGCACCCAATAACTATGTGGTTTTCTAAACTACTCTATAAAATGAACTAATTACCGAGATGTATATTACTCATTAATTGTGAATAATATCTAGTTTAGTCCACCAACCAACGATGATCAAAACGGTATCAAAACGATATTAAATTTTATGTTAATTTTTCAAGTGATGTTAAAACTTATAAAAAATTCAAAATCGAGGGAGCGCAAATAACTATTCATATTTATCAAATACTATATTTACATGATATTTCTTTTAAATATTTATAAATAATTTGAAACATTTACATTTAGTTTATTAAATTGTACTTATACTTTTATTTATAATATTTTATTTACATGAATTTTATTTATTAAATTTTATAAAATTTAAAATTTCTTTTTATTTTTAATGTGCTTCTTATTTAAAAAAGGATTGATTATTTTTTTGATATTTAATCAATTATAAGGTTGTTTTGACGTCATTTTGACGGTTGTAAGTGAGGAGACAAAATTAAGCAGTATTTCCATATAATAAAAATTATCTCAATAATTAGTTTATTTTGGGATTTATATAAAAACACATAATTATTGATTAATGAGGAATTTACGTAAATATGACTGAAACATAATAGCTTTCTCAATATATGACCATATATTTTTTTTTCCAATGTAGGTACATTAGTCATCATCCATTAGTCATTATTCAAGTAAATATCCACCATCAGTGGATATTATTCTTCCTAAGTACTATTTAGGAAATAAAAAAGTTTAATCCTACATAGGGAAATAACCTATGTTTTAGTCCTATTTTGTACAAATTTCACCTGAATACTCCCTTCGTCCTAAAATTAATTTTCCAGTTTAACTTTTGCAGTCAAATTTTTTAAACTTTGACCGTACATTACGGAAAAAGTATATTGAGTTTTCATATAAATTTATTAGCAATAGATTAATTTTGAAGCATAGTTTTGAAATATATAATTTTTATACGATTTATTTATATAGAAATTGAGATATTAGTGCTTAGTAGCAAAAGTATCGCATTAGAAATCGTAAAAAGTCAAATGAAAAATTAATTTTAAGACAAAAGGAAGAATATTTTAATGGTATGTTTGGGAACATGGATTTGGATTTCAAATTCAGATTTGGCTTAAATTCCATGTTTGGGAAACTTAAGCATTTTGAATTTGGATTTGAATCAAATTCTTTACATTCAAAACAAAGCTTAATCTGAAATCCATGCACCTCCCCTTGTCATTTGAAATTCAGGATTTCAAATTTTGAAATTAAAATGCATGAATTGAAATGAAATGCTAGTTGCCAAACAGTATCTAAGAGTTTAATCTTCTTTTTTCTTCCCATCAATTGAGTAGAATATTATGGGGAGAGAGAGTTAGGCGATTAGAAGGACGTCCCACCCACCCTTCCCGTGGACGCATACTTTATTTATAGCACGCCAATCTGTCGTCTCTTTCAGTAGTTTGTCTCTGAGCTATAGCTTCCTCCATAGTCACCCAACTACGAACGACTCTTCAAGAAGTTGAAGCAATTATAAGGATCACTTCCTTCCCCTCCATTTCCTCCCCCTTTATTTATTTATCTGTTGCTGCTTTATTATCATTTAAAATCAGTGCAATAGGCAGATTGGGAAAGTAAGAGAGAGAGAGAGAGAAGGAAATCAAAGTGGGTTCTTGGTAGTTCAATATCCCCACCCCACCCCACCCCACCATGGTCAACATCAAGCACAACCCACAATTCTCCATGTCTGAGAGCAGATTCTTGGTGGGTTCTTGGGGAATTTTATGAATTGCAGAGCGGATCTGTTCCGAAATTCAAGGAGAGTCGGAGGAGGGAGGGTATATAGAAGAAACTGCCCTAAGGGCGTGTTTGGCTGGAGATGGAGTTCTGCTGTTGGGGTTGGGACAGACAGAGAGCCTATGACTTGTTTCCAGGGGAGCAACCTCTCCCCTTTTCTCTCCCTTCTCCTCTTCCTCAATGGCCTCAAGGTCTCTCTCTCTCTCTCTCTGAATTTCCACTGCTAAAGATTATGTTTTTATTATTAATTTTCTGCAATTTTATCAGTTCTATTACATTGATCCATGATAGTGAATTTTTTTAGTTGCCTGGTCACAGTTATTACATTCATTTGATCAATAAGTGTTTTTTTTGAGTAAAAATATTCTGCAAATTTATCATTTCTTTTGATCCATGATAGTGATTTTTCTCTATATTTATTGATTTGATCAATAATTGTTTTCTTCCTATGGTATGAGGAAAAGATATGTCCCCAAACCCTTATGTTGTATAGACAACACACATGCAGGCAAAATGTTTGCATATATGCCTGTGTGGAATAGAGAAGACAGTGATGATATGTAGATTTGTATTTGTGAAATTGTTTGTACTTTGAATTTTTCAAAATTAAAAATTGGTGGATGTTTTGATACCTAGATTGGATTTTTTTTTGGAAAAAAACTACATTTTGTATAATCTTTTTTCAATTCTCTGTCATTTCTCAAATCTTTTCAATACTTTGATCCTTTAAAAAAAACCTGAAGGTGAAGGTTTTGGCAAGGGAAGAATATGCCTAGGGGAGATTGAAGTGATTCAAATAACTCAGTTTGAAAAAGTATGGAGTATCAAGTCATCATTTGGGAAATCAAACAGTGTGACATTTTATCAGCCGGTTGATGTACCAAAAGGGTTTTCTGTTCTTGGCCATTATTGTCAGCTTGATGGCAAGCAGTTGAGTGGCTATGTTCTTGCCGCTAGAGATTGCTCTGGCTGCATTGCCGGATCAAACCTCCCTCCTCTAGAGAAACCCCTGAGCTACACTTTGGTCTGGACTGCTGATGCTTCTTCTTGTACCGGGTCGGGTTACATTTGGCTTCCAAATGCCCCCGATGGGTACAAACCGATGGGCTTTTTGGTAACCATTAAGCCCGATGAGCCTGACCTTGAAGATGCTATTTGTGTTCGGGCCGATCTTACTGAACCCGCAGATGCATGTGCCTTGATTTTCACTACGAGTAAAACGATTTTCAATAAGAAGCAGTTTCAGGTTTGGACAACAAGACCCGGCAAGAGGGGTGTTGACTGTAAGGGCGTTTCAGTCGGGACATTCTTTTGCGGCACATCCGCTGATGACCTCAGCATTGCTTGCTTGAAGAACTTGGACTCCACCCTACACGCCATGCCAAACCTTGATCAGATCCATGCTCTCATCCAGCATTACGGACCGACTGTTTACTTCCATCCAAACGAGGTTTATCTGCCTTCGTCCGTTCCGTGGTTCTTCAAAAGTGGAGCCCTCCTGTACAAAGATGGCAACGATATCGGTACAGCCATCGACCCCGCGGGAGCAAACCTGCCAGCTGGCGGGAAAAACGACCGAGAGTTTTGGATCGATTTGCCTTACGACGAGGAAAAGAGAAACATCGTCAAATTTGGTAACATCGAGAGTGCCAAGCTTTATGTTCACGTGAAACCGGCTTTGGGCGGGACCTACGCGGATATCGTGATGTGGGTATTTTGCCCGTTCAACGGGCCCGCGACCCTAAAGGCGGGGCTGATGAGTTATGACATGAACAGAATTGGGGAGCACGTTGGGGACTGGGAGCACTACACGCTCCGCATTAGCAACTTCTCAGGGGTACTTTGGTCAATGTATTTCTCCGAACACAGCGGAGGCGAGTGGCTTCCCGCGGGCGAGTTGGAGTTCATAAGCGGGAACAAGCCTGTCGTCTATTCTTCGAGAAACGGGCACGCCAGTTTCCCTCACCCGGGTTGTTACATCCAGGGGTCTTCGGTGCTAGGGATAGGGGCAAGGAACGATTGCGACCAGAGCAAATATTCGGTGGATTCGAGCTCAAAGTATGAGATTGTCGCGGCAGAGTATCTCGGGGAGGGAGTGGTCGCGGAGCCTCATTGGCTGCAGTTCATGAGGGAGTGGGGCCCGCGAGTCGAGTATGATTCGGCATCCGAGCTGGATAAGATAATCAACCACCTTCCATTTTACGTCAGGTTTTCTGTCGAGAGTCTGTTCGAACTCTTCCCGACCGAGCTGTACGGTGAAGAGGGGCCCACGGGACCGAAAGAGAAGGACAATTGGTTAGGGGATGAAAGGTGCTGATTGATTGTATCTCTTATTACCTCGGCACATTTATAGTATATATATTCATTGGGACATCAGAAGTGCTGCAGATCCCTTTGTATCTTCCTTGCCAAACCGAAGGCCTCGTTTGGGTTCACGTGGTGTTCGGGATTCAGTTGCCTACGCACGGGCATTTCCCGGGGTGCCAATCCAAACGAGGCCTAGAAGCAAGGTAAAATATGTATGTATATATAGTAAGGAGTGTGTGGCAGTTGATAGTCATTCAGTTGTAAACTCTATTTGGGCAATTGGGAAATGGCAAAAATTCACAGGTAGTGTATGAAAACAGGGGAAACTTTAAATATGTGTTGTGTATAGTTCTAGTGTTGTTGAATTTAAGCCTGAATTTTCGTGTATTTGTGTTTATTGATATCATCAGTGATGATTGTTTAACACGGATTACAGCATTTAATCAATTGAGTTTGGAAAAAAATTAGGGTTCTTGAGGTTATTTGGTTTTTGTATAAAATGGGGTTTTTTTTTCATTTTAATTACTCTAATGGGTGCTTGAGATGAAATTTGTTTATAAATTTTACAATTTATAAAACCATTTTTGCCACTGAATATGACTAAAACATATGGAGTAAGCCATTTTCTAATGTAGGACTTAAACTTTTTTATTTCCTAAATAAGACTTAATAATGACTAGTGAGAAGAATAATGTCCAAGTGGTCCTAGACATTTAGTTGAATAATGACTAATATATAATGACCAATGGTTCACCATTGGGAAATAAAAATATATGGTCCTATATTTAGAAAGTCATTATGTTTTAGTTCTATTTAGGTAAATTACCCGGGATGAATGGATATCATCGATAATTACTAAAAAAATGGGATCAATAAGATTCAGTCCACAAATGTACTTCACATGAACTAAATTATTCTCTCTTTTTTGCTCTAAAAAATAATCAATTTTTACGATGCAGTTTATTACTCCGTAGTTTATTGCTGACAATCAATTTTTAACTTATAAGTTGTTTATTAGTTAACTATTCTTTCGTTAGAGTAAAATGATTTACGATGTAAATTATAGACAAGTCACTTGGAGATATCTATAAATGGTGAAAGGTAATTTTATAATTGATCTGGTCAAAATGAAAAAACGAAAAAACTGACTTTAAAATAAATTTGTAAGACTTACTTATTTTTTTGACTTATAAGTAATTTATAAATCAACTTTTAAGTACAAAAAAATATGTTATCAACTAATTTGTAATTAGTTTTGACCAAGTCATAAGAAAAACATAAAGAAACTAGCGAGCTCAGTATTATCTTATCCTATTCATTTTGTCATTATTATATTTTCTTTTATTTTAATACTTTTGTTTCATACTTCCGTATCATAATTCATAAGCACTAATAATCTTAATAATGCTAATACTAATAATATTTAATAATGCTAATATTAAGGGTGGCTAGCTCTCCTCTCTTTTGACAACATTTGTTGTCATATTATGAAAACAATAGTTGCGAAAAAACAATAGTTACGATGTTTTATTTAAAAAATTAATGATTCTTATTTTTATTAACCCTTGCCCCCACCCCAACACCCTCTGGCTCCTTCCAAAATGCTAATTGGCTAGAGTAATAGTGTTATTGTAGGCCAATCGGAATTTTGATGAGGGGAGTGACGGTGCAAGGGGTTTCAGAGAGGATATAATCATCATTTTTTCGAACAGGGCATTGTAGTTGTCGTTGTCAAAAAGAAGAGAGTCGTATTAAAGATATAAAGATAAACTAGGAATAAAATGTGAAGCGAGTACTAAAATAAGAGTTTCATATTTCTTATCACTTAAATATGAGTTACAATGGCAATACTTTCAATATCTAAAAAAGAATTATGTTTTATTCTTATCATGGGTAATTTCTTTACAAACAATTAATGTTTTAAATATTTTTACGAAATACTTTAGTATTGTTTTAATTTTATTTAACAAAAAATTCAACATCTATATGATTTTATTTTATACAATAATGCCTTTTAAATTGTTTAGAATGCACTTTTATTTTTTATTTAATTTTTTTAAAAACTGGAAAAAATTAAAAAACAAACCAGTAAATCAAAGAGATAATTTTTTGAATGAAAAATAGAGTCGAATCCAATCAAACAATCACTTACCTTTCATTTGGATTTAGGTTTTGAATAGGCTTGACAAAAATTAATTTGACTTGTTTTTTTTTGAAAACTCAGTTTGAAAGTACTAGATTTTGAACAAAAGTTTTGTTGATCAAGTAATCTACTAAAAAGGCCAAATTTGATCAAACTTAACTGAGAATACTGATACTACGGTGCTCAAAACAAACTGGTATAATCATTTGAGATATACTGTCACGATGCATTTGTACATTGTGGTAGTGCATTTTCGGCACTGGCATCAAAGTTGACTTATTTATCATAACAACATTTTTAATATATATATATATATATATATATATATATATATATATATATTAGAATAGTACATCTATTTTTATAGAAATTTTTATAGAATAGTGCACTAAGTTTATGAAATTGATAAGTTATAAAATAAAATTGTATACTTTATTCAATGTAGAGTATAAAAATGGTACTATATTTTTCAAGTAAATGGCTTATAAAAAAAGAGAGTAAATTTCGTAAAAGATCCCCAGTTATAGGTCGTTTTACATATTTAGTTCTTACATATCAAATATTACTAATTTAGTCCTCAATTATTACTACATTTATTTCCGCGAATACTCCTTTGTTAACATTTCCGTTAAGAACGTGGATAAAATTGTAAATTCACACTCCTTTCTCTTTTTAATTAAGCTTCCTCCCTCCCCTCGTAGTCCTTTCCCAAACCCCTCGCTGAGTTTGAAGCTTTGAACACAAAACCGAAATCATTACTCTTCTCTCAATTGCTTGTCTAACTGGTATGGAACCCAAATTTGAAATCAGTAACCTTCATGGATGAGTTTTAAACTTTTAATGTTTATTTTCTTTGCAATTTATTGAGACTAACTGATAAAATTCATCCATAAAGCTTATTGGTTTTGATTTTAGGTTACAATAGGAAGACTAATAATTGAAAAATGAATCATCATTTCAGTTTTGGGTTTAGAGCTTCAAACTCAGCGACGAGTTTGGGAAAGAGTACGAGAGGAGGAAAGAAACTTAATTGAGGAGAGAGAGGAGTGTGAATTTACAATTTTATCTACGTTCTTAACAGAAATGTTGACAAAAGACCATTAATGGAAATGAATATAATAATTGGGAACTAAATTAGTAATATTTGATATGTAGGGACTAAATATGTAAAACGGTCTATAACTGAAGACCTTTTATGGAATTACTCAAAAAAAAAGAACATAAATTTTACTCCGTATAAGATATGAGTAAATTTATTCTTTTGTCACCAAATAAACTCTAATCTTTTTTATTTGGCTAAAAATAATTTTATTACTTCTTTTAACGTGAATTGTAGTAACCAAAATTACAAAACCGAGATTAATCTGGTGGAAATTTCCACCATCAAACCGTAATTAATCAAAATCACTTTCTCACTCTCATCTTGGTGCAGAAATAGGAAGGACCATGCTAGTGTGCTACCAGCCCATCACATGGGTGGACCCATGATAGCAAAGTGCAATTGACTTACCCTAATCAAAATCACAAATCAATTACTCCGTAAAATAAAAAAGATGAAAAGGTACTGCAATTAGGTGCCTGAATTCTATGCTCTGCTCTTCTCTTCTCTTCTCTTCGTCCCGATTCCAGGTAACTCTCTCTTCCTCCCTGCTGTATGTTCAGCTGATTTTCTAGTATTTTGTTTATCCGGTCTGAGATTGAGTGAAATAATGAGATTTAAAATTCAAGGAGGATTCCGTTGATTCTACTCTCAGATCAGGGTTTTGAATGCGATGTGCTATTCTACCACTTAATCTTAATGTCTATGGATCATGCAGGTTGAAGGATTAATTTTGATCAGAGTTCGTTCTTCGTACACATGGTAATCTTTTCCAAATTCTGCTTATTATTGTTGTTGCTAGTACTACTATTGCTGGAAATGTATATTGCATTTCATACTATCCTGCTATTGCTGGAATTTTATATTCTGGGTATACCTTTTTTTTGGGTGCTGTGTGTTTATAGAATTATATACTCGGAGCTTTCAAGCCGGCATGCCACATTTCAGTTACATTTTCCGACGGGAAGTCACGCAAGCAGGTATTGGATTATTGTCAGCTGCTTTTCTCAGACTCTAAATTCTGTTGTGCTTTTATGATTTCCCAGTACAAAAAAAAAATAGATGCCCGAGTATCAGGTTCTGGGAGGGAGTTTCTTTTATGTACTCTTCCTGGAAAGTTATGATGAAACGGGCATAATTTAACAGCTCCTTTGATGATCATGCTGTAAGATAAGATTCTTCTAATTTTGAGTATATAAAGAACTATTCTTCTAGTTTTTTGGCAAATGATTCTGATACTTTGAAATAAACATACTTTTAGAATGTTGTTAGCTCACAATTCACATTACTTTCATCTTTGGTATTTGCTCCACATTTGCCTCCACCTTCATTTTTTAAAATTTGTTAGATACCATTGAAGAAGGAGAATGGCCATACAATAATGGCTCCACTTTTTCATAGCCAGGAAAACCTTGCCGGGAAGGTAAATTTTCACTTTATGTTTGTGATCCTTCTATTCCATTTCATCTGCCTTGCTCAAACCTATGTTACCCCTAGAAAAAATATAACTCTTTTGATAATGCCTCAGATATTGATTGAACCAATATCAGGAAAGAAGGTTGAACACAATGGAATAAAAGTTGAGCTTCTTGGGCAGATAGGTTAGTATTAACTTGGTTTTCAGCATTGGTATATGGTTTCTAGTAGGGCTGTTTTTCTCCTCTTTCCTTTCAAATCAAAATATAGCTGTTATACCCAATCTATTAATTGTACTGAGCAACCAACTATTCATTCCAAACATAACAGAAAACTACAAATAAAACATAATCCTGATGCTAATGGTTCAAAAATGTTCATTTTCTAATAAGAGCATTTCACCTAAGAAATCTAGTTCTTGTCTCAATGAGGCTCACATCTTGAAAGCCATTGTATGAATGAGGTTTATGCCAATGAAAAGCTTAACTAACTAACTAACTCTCTCTCCCAGTATCACATATTTACAATGTTGGTGCACAATTTTTTTTGTATGTGATGTTCATAATGAAACAACTATAATATGATGCACAAACATTTCAGTTCTATAATTTTTTATGTCATAGTGATATTTTACTTTAATTTTTTGGGTTCCCCAGATCAGATGAGGTTTGGTCAATCATTCTAATTCTGTTTTGTGCAGTTCCATTAGTATTCTCCATTACATTGCTCGAGCACCTGTTACATTGCAAGCAGATCTTCTATTTGTGCCTTATTTCATTTCAAAGAGTGGGACTCACATCTAACTTGTTTTCCCTTTCCAGAAATGTACTCTGATAGAGGGAACTTCTATGACTTCACCTCTCTTGGTAAGTGAAGTGTTTACTTTTGCTTCATGGACCAGGAGCATTTTCATATATCATGTTTATGCAGTTCGCTACTTATTGCTTATGCACTACTCTCCCCATCCCACAAAAAAGTCCTATTCTTTTACTCCGTATTTGTTTAAGAAAATAAGTAAACTTTGTGCTTTCTTAGGGTTGTACCTTACTAAAAAGTTATACACTCATTCAAGTGGATTCTTTATATGGGACGGAGAGAGTATTTATTTGGCTCTGCAACTCTTTTTAGTTCCAAAAATGTCATCGTCATTACTCAGTTTAATGGGGTCTCTTTTATCCCATAGAAGGGAATATACTATGACTTCAAATCCTTTTAGTTTACAAGTAGTGATTTGCGTATCTCATTACTTTGCAGTTCGCGAGTTGGATGTACCTGGTGAATTATATGAGAGGAAAACTTACCCATTTGAGTTTTCAACTGTTGAAATGCCTTATGAAACATACAGTGGGGCCAACGCTCGTCTTAGGTAAGTCTGCTAGTTACATATTGTGAAGTTTGGTTTCTGAAAAAGACGTGGATTCGATTTCTCTCCTATAATTACCCTGGAAATATACCTGTTAAAATTTGAGTTGCTTTTCTAACATCCGCACATGATATTGGCTGTAATTTGTGCATTTAAAAGAGATGCGCATTCCAAGTTTTGCAAGTTGTGATGCTTGCCCACTTTCACTCTCGCCAAAAGGTCCACCATTTATGCAGCAAAACTATAAATAAAAAACAAAAACAAAACCATGCTAGAGGGAAACATAAAAGAAACTTGCACATCAAGCTTGCAAATGATAATTAATGACAAACAACTACTAGTGATCAACACTTTGCAACGTATTATTCTATTTTTTTGCAGTGAATGGATTTCAATTTCCATTTTTTATATCAAAGACAGTAGATTAGAAAAATAATCAACATTTTTTCCTTATTATTTGCTAAGTACTTGCTTGATTTCCCATTTATTGATGCTAGTGGACAAAGTAATATATCACACATGATCGCGACATTAACTTTGTGGTGCTTTTAGGTATGTTCTGAAAGTTACTATAAGCCGAGGCTATGGTGGCAGCATAGTGGAATACCAAGATTTTGTGGTATGATTTTGTTTCTTCACATGGCACTTCATGTTTCTTTCACTCCACTTTTAGTTTAATACATTTATGAATCAGGTGCGGAACTATAGCCCACCGCCTACAATCAACAACAGCATTAAGGTACTGAACATATAATCCGCACAACATTTTACAATATTTGTATGTTATGTAGAAATCAAAGTTTATCTTTTTTGTGATATCTTTCTTGCCATGCAATTAGCTGCCACTGGGCTGACTTACAGTAGCACTCATTTATTTTTGCACTTTTTAGATGGAAGTTGGAATTGAAGATTGTCTTCACATAGAGTTTGAGTACAACAAAAGCAAGTAAGATTATAATTTTCAGAAAAATGCTGTAGCATTTCTAGTTTGGTTAATATGTGTGCCTTTTTTCTAATACACAAACAGGTATCATTTGAAAGATGTGATTATAGGGAAGATATATTTCCTACTTGTACGAATCAAGATAAAGAACATGGATCTTGAGATCAGACGCCGGGAATCGACAGGTTCGGGAGCAAATACCCATGTTGAGACAGAGACCCTTGCAAAGTTTGAGTTGATGGATGGTGCTCCTGTTAGAGGTAGTATCGTCAATGCCTTATAATGTGTTAGGAACTAGGGTTACCAATCATACGTGTTAGACGTAAATTAGATGGGCCTACTATATGTTTCTTAAATATTTATATAAAAAATTCCTGCACTTTTATTTCATTGTCGGTGGAACAAAGTGAATTTTTTTAGGGCCTCTTTGATGAGCGCACAACATATGAGTTGTGTTATCTTCCGATATCATAATCTTTTTGCAAGTGTTTGGCGAAGACTAAACAGTGTTATATATCAGCATATCACAACTCTCCCAAATGGGGGTATTTTGATGTTTCCCAAATTTGGGACCAATCTGGGGTTTGGTATCCCCCCCTGCTGCCCACGCACCGTCCCCGGCCATCCCCATCTATCACTAGTAACCCCATATCATATCAACCCTCCAAAACTCATCAAATGTGGTCTTCACTCTATTCCTCTATAAACTGTGCTAAAGATCAATGATTATGCTTGATTGTGCAGGCGAGTCGATTCCCATCAGACTGTTTTTGAGTCCATACGAACTGACACCGACATATCTGAATATAAATAACAAATTCAGTGTGAAATACTATTTGAACCTTGTTCTGGTTGACGAGGAGGATCGGCGATACTTCAAACAACAGGAGATCACTATGTGCCGTATCGCTGATATTTCCTAATCCGTAAGTCCGAAGTTTTCCTCCTCCTCCACCTCCATTCTCTACAGTGTCTCTTCTGCAACTCTAATATAAGGTTTGTTTACTTTCTAATGTAATCGAATGAACACCTTTTCTTCACTGCTTTTATGGTAGATAGGCATTGGCCTGTGAGAGCTGCAAACTTTTGTATAGTGTGTTTTAAGATAATTAAAGGGTTTGTTCCTATTTGCTCTTAAAGGATTGGGTAAGAGTTATATTACATGTTTCTGGTGACCCATGATTTTCCATCCTTCCAATATGAAATATTCTCTATCCCATAAAAAGGTTATGAGTTTGACCTTACAGTGTTAGTTTGTTACCCATTGAGATTGGGTGCTTGAAATTTATTGCACTGATGCCTGTGAGAAGCTTGGCAAATGTGTACTTTTAACAAAAATATTATTTTTCATAGAGAATTTCATCAGTTTTAAGAGAAACCTGTTTTTAAAAAATGTTAAAAGTCTAGTGACATGGTTGGATGAATTTCTTTTCAAAGCTATTTATATACAAAATGGGTGAAAACATATGATATGAGGGGCATATTAGTAAAAAAATAACTCAATCGGTTAAAAATATAGTATGAACCACATTTCTTTTCTTTAAGAAAGAAAGAAGGAATAACCCTCTTTTAGGGGTCGTTTAATAGAACTGGATAAAATAAGTTTAATTAAATTGTACTCGTATTGAATTGTGATACATGACTTATACTTCTTCTATCCCAAATTAAATTGCTTGTTCGCCCATTGTTTTTGATTGGTTCATATCAAATAGATTGTTAATTAAATGGTGTTGAATTGATTGTAATCTAATGTTAAATCAAGTAATATTGAACTACTAGTAAATGATACTCCGTACTATATAGAGAATATAGCATTTAAATTAAGTAAATATAAATAAGTATTCCCTGAAACTAGGCAAAACCTTTTAGTAGGAGACTCGCACGAGTAGCTTGGATGGTTATGAGGAAGGAGTGTTAAGTCTGAGATTTCAGAACCGAATTATGGCAGTGATAATGTGAAAGTTTTATCTAATGTGATAGCTCTTCGTGCGCATCGAGCACAAGACAATCACTTTAAGAATCAAACTAAAATTATACAATGATCTACCCATTCACCGCTCAACCGGGTCGGGGCTCAGAGGCACTCAGGGTGGGTGTTCCATAACGTTTTAGGTTGTTTGATGTCACGTTGGCAAGCGCATCGGGAATCCAATGCAGCTTTGGTGCTGTTCGTGGGTCGGCATAAAAGGCAACAGTCCAATGAACGCCCCTAAGCCGTCTTCTCTCCCACTCGCTTCCTTCTCTTCCTCTCTTGTTTGGGAACCTCTCCCACCCACACCCTCTCTCTCCCCATCTCTTTGATGTGGTCGGCGGTTGTTAGTTGGCCGGTCGGGAAGATGGCATTGGCAACCACATCGTTTAACCTTATTAGGGGGCACCTCGATTATTTTTCAAAGTTGCTGAGGTGGTCATCATACATGAATTTATAAACTCTTGAATTGAATTCGATAATAAATTGAAGTAATTGGATTCAATTTTCTCAGATAGTCCGGCTCAAATATTTTATGTTTAGTTTTAGTTACCTATATTCCATTCAAAATTCTATCACTAAACTTGACACTAAAACAAAAGATCATGAACTCTTCATACAAGCATAGCACATAATTGGAAAGAAAGAATAGTATTCCTATAGATAGTGTGTGTGTGTGTATGTATATGTATATGTATATGTATAATTGTATCTTTGTTGCATTTTGGTGAAATTCATGCCACCCGAGGAGCAAGGCATCTTGAAAAGAATCCAAAAAATTTCTTCTGCAAACAAAAACGAGGCAAATTAATTACAGTAATTACATCATCCATCGCAAATACACTTCTGGTTTAACACTTTTCTATTCCCTTTACAAATTAAATGTGATCTCAGTCTTAATTTTAGTCTCATAAGACTGATTTCACCTAAATGTTCGGGGGTTTTAACAAATCTGGCTCATTAATTTTGAATCAACTATGTGTCTTCTATTGTACTCCCATCGTCCAAAAACATTCTTCACGCGTTGACTTAGCACGCTTATTAAAGAATAGTAAGAAAGTGTCAAATTTACAAAAATACGCGTACTAGAAATTTTTAGAGCTTCTTTTCTTATTAAAAAACAGTAAAAAAGTAGGTTAGTAGTAAAACAGGACATTATTGGAATTTATCTTTAAAACATAGACTAAAAAAATTAATGAAAATTTTTTTTTCTAGAAGGACCAAAAAGGAAAATAAAAAGAACATTTTCGGAAGGAGAAAGTATCCCGCACTCAAATTTACTCCATCAAATATTCTGAACTTTATTTTTGTTTTTTCACAGCAATCATTCGCTTTCCATCGAATATTTTTTAAATATTTTTCTTATAAAAAATTCGAATAAATTTTTAGACAAAGAGCCAAAATAATGAATGCATACTCGGTTTCCACTGCGGAGGAGCTCCGGGGGGATTTGGTAGAGATCTTCATCCACCGGTTTAGAGGCATTACTTTGTTCTAGAAATGGCTTCTGTGAACCGGACCGGTTCTTCTCAAGTGCATCGGGGTCCGGCTTTCTTGGCTGAGCCCTACCACCTAGGGAGTATCTCTTCATCTGCACTTAACCGCCCAATACTCATTAAAATCAGACCGGTCAATCGATTGGACCAGTCGAACCGAGAATCGGATATTAAAGGTGAGATAAAATTTAGATTGGTTTGGAAAAACTCGGTAGCCCCACATCACGCCGAGTTTTTACCTAGTCTCGTATTAACATTATTGCTGACACGAGCTCCTCGTGTCATCCTATGACATGGATGATGGACCCCATTAGAATATCTACGGTGTCAGCAATATACAGAGAAGAAAACACAGCGGATCCAGGAATTCGGATAGATGGGGGCACATGTGCACAACTGATCAGAGATCCCGGAGTAGTGCCCCTGATTTTTTTTAAATAGACAGTATAAAATGACAAAAAATAATAAATTTATTTTAAACATTTTTTGAATGTAAAATATTGTTTAATAGGTAATATAAAATTTTATTCCAAACAATAAAGTATACAGAGTATGCAATAAAATATACTTTACTTCAATAAAATTAATCAAAAAAAACTAAATTAGATAAGGTTCCATTAATTTTGTTGGGAATACATAATTGTAGATGAGGTCAACCCCAATTTAGATGGGGGCATGCAACCCCAAATATATAAATTTTTTCAAAAAAAAAAAGAAATAGTTTAACACCAAATATTAGTAGGGGGCATTGGCCCCCAATTCTTTCAGACTGGATCCGCCCCTGGTTTCATTCGAAAAATTGATGAGTCTTACCGTTCTAACTTTCCAATAAACCACTCCACCTCTGCTCGTCTTGAACCCACCCCCGCACCGCCGTCATTTGATATACAATCCATATTTTTTTAAAAAGAAAAATAGTTTTATTATATAGTATTCAAAATAGAATCTTTAAAATTTTATATCAAAATATGATATACCAAATAATTTTTTTGAGGGAATGATATACCAAATAATGTCAAGTAATGTCAACATATAATACAAAAATGTAATGTAAAATGCAAACAAGCAATGTCAAAATAAAAGCATTTCATGGTACCAATCAATGATACTCTTATTTAGGAGACAAAATTATACAACTTCCACTCATGAGTATTTGTTTAGTTTTAAGTTTTTGCTGTAAAAAATGATAAATTTTCATCATTATTTAAATTTTGATCGATATAATGATAATTTTATTAGAATTATGTTTTTTTTCAAAAAATAATTTTAACTAATTAATATACCATCTAGTTTTGGTTTAATTATTGGTCAATGTGGGTTGTAGTTGAGTGCAAAAGATAGAAAATATATATGCATAAAAATTAAGACGGAGGGATTATATAATACTCCATCCGTCGGGAGTATATCTTTTCGTTAGTTTTTTAGAAATCACCCTAAATAAAACTAAAACATAGGAAAGAACTAAAATAGGACTTTCATGTTTTTTTCCCAAAATAAGACTTTGCACTGTGGTAATGTAACTTTGCATTATGGTAATGTAGCAGTGTACATGTGCACATTACTATACTTTTTTGGTAATGTATATGACCATTTTTGGTAATGTAAGTCCTATTTCAGAAAAAAAACATGGAAATCCTATTTTGATATATTTTCAATGTTTTAGTCCTACTTTGGTTTTTTCTCTCTTATTTTTTTATTTATCCACATAGATCTTCTCATCACCGTTTTTAATATTTAAAATATCATTAATATCCTTACATATTTTATTTGTTACACTTCACTTGTTTCAATTATTTTTTAAAAATCACAAAAAGTCAAACATACTGTAATGTATACATGTAGCACGGAGAATCATAAAGTCTTATTTATAGGATTTCTTCAATACTTCCTAATTTGAAGTTAGTTAAACTACTATCTGACGGTAAAGAAGGAAATGAAAAATCGATCAACAAACGAACCTTTGATGAAGGAAGAAAGATATCCGCCGCGGCAGGAGACGGCGGCGGCGGTAGGCGGAAATGAGAGGCGACCACGGCGGTTGCACTTTCACGGGAATAGCCGCTGAGGCTGGCCTGCGGGGCGTTCCCAAAGCACTGTGTGATGGGGAGGCGGTCCGCCGCCTCCCATTCCCCAAACGCCGGAATTTGACCGCTCCGCTTACTCTTCTACGCGCATCACCCAAAACAATATCAACTTCAATTTTAGTTTATTGATATATTTGTTCAGTTTTGATTTTTTGCAATTAAAATTGATAAATTTTGATCACTAATTAAATGAAATCGATAAAAGTATTATATATTGATATTAAAATAATACTCCGGGTATTACTTTGTATTATATTTCTTATATATAATATTTTTATATTATTTTATCTAAATAAGATTATTTTCTTTGTTCTAATTTAAATTGTCTTGTTTGGGTTTATGATGTTTGGTTAAAATTACTTTTAAATCATTTTATATGAAGAATGGTGTAAAATTAAATTATAAAATTTACATATTAAAAAACTAGATTAAAAAATCTACAAAACTAGCGGTGACATGACAACATTATTATAACGAATATAGAGAAAAAAATTAAAAAAAAGTTTAACCCTTTGAATAGTAAACAAATAATTTAGTTTGAGACGAAGAGAATAAAATTGAATAAATATACAAGCACGATGGTAATAATGTATAAAGATTAATTAATTTAAATTCTTGACATCTAAGTTAAATTCGACTAAAATTTCAAACTTGTAATTTAGAAAACACAAAATATTTTATACTTGGCAAAATATTTTATATATATGTGCTAGTTAAGCATTTACTAAGGGTTAAGATAAGCATATTTTACACTATAAGGGAAAGAAATTAGAAAAGGTAAGAAAAATGGAACTTACAATGGCAGCCATGGTTGTAGAGCTTGGATGGAGCTAGCTAGCAATTCAAGAAATGAGAAATGTTATAATAATGGAAGGAAAGTGAGACTATGGGAGTGGGGGTTGCATTTTCATATCGTTTTTGGTTGTTGACTAAATGTCTTCCCAAAGAAAGGTGAAAGAAAGAAAGTTGTGTTAATATTTAATACTCCTTCTGTCCTAACATTTTCTTTTCACGTAGTATTCGATTAAATGGTCAAAACTTAATCATTTTTTTTACATATTTTCGTTAGTTATTTTATATGGGAAGGTCCATGACATTAGTTTCCAATGTCATGGGATGACCCTGGGGTGCTCCGGTGCCTCGTTCGTAAAATTGACGGTTCCTACCCCTCCTAACCCCCCCGCCCCGCCCGACCCGAACACACCCCCCACCCCCTTCAATTAATTTAAATTCATGACATCTAAGTTATATAATATAATCATGTTCCCTATGTTTTTGTAAAAGTTTTAATGTAGCTTTTAAATGTATAATTATAATTTTTTAATTTTTCATCAATAATGAAACAAATTGAATTAAAAATAATTTTAGTTAAAACTCATGAACTGAGCTGAGAGGAAAATTTTAGGACGAATGGAGTATATGTCATTTAATGAAACAAAAATAGTCTGTCTTTGGTAGGGAATTGACCAAATATAATGTTTCTTTTCCTTTCATGATAAAAAGTTTGCTTTCATGCATGGTAATGATCATACTTTCTACCATTCAGAAAATATTTTTCTTAAAGCGTGTTATGACCTTTTCAAAATATAAAATTACTCACTAGAAAGTGATTTTCCATATGAATTTGGGGTTTGACTAGTTTTAGTGACTTAGTTTGTCAATTTGCCTCGTCCAGACTCGGTTTATCATCTCACTCACTGGCTGTTAGACGTAAAAAATGAGGATTATTGTAACAATAAAGCTAAAAAAACTTTAACAACGTTAAATCCACCAACTTTTTCAAATTTATTCATATAACTAAGAAATAACCATTCAGAGCTTTACACGTTAGTAGAAAGAAAAGGTGAAGTTGGTTTGCAGGCATATTGTATGTCCCACCTCATTCTAAAAATCCCCAAATCATGTTTTAAAAAGCCAAGTTTACAACTTTTTACCAACTCACCACTTTGTAATGGTTAAAGCAAACTTTATAACCACGACCACATCACAAGTTAATCAAATTAGATCATAACCAATTAAATAAATCAAAGAGAACAAATCCTTAGCGTCTTTGAAGAAAAAGACAAGAAACCCTAATTCATAACTTGTTCTATAACACGGTTACCGCCTACCGTCCATATATAGCTTTTCAATCACCCTGCCCAATGTCTTTTCTGATCCACTCTCTTCGAGATCTCGATGATTTCAATTCTCCAATAATATCATTTGCTAGATGAATAATGTCCATTATGTTTAAAATCTTTTTATTTATAAAGGAAAAACAATGACCATAGCGTTTAATATTCTTTTAATGACGAGGAATAAAAAATCAATATTCTTGTAATGACGAGGAATAAACAATGCCCATGGTAATGATCATATTTTCTACCTTTCGGAAAATATTTTTCTTAAAGCGTGTTATGACCTTTTCAAAATATAAAATTACTCACTAGAAAGTGATTTTCCATATGAATTTGGGGTTTGACTAGTTTTAGTGACTTAGTTTGTCAATTTGCCTCGTCTAGACTCGGTTTATCATCTCACTCACTAGCTGTTAGACATAAAAAATGAGGATGGTTGTAACAATAAAGCTAAAAAAAACTTTAAAAACGTTAAATCCACCAACTTTTTCAAATTTATTCCTATAACAATAAAACTACCATTTTTTTTAAACCTACCAACAATAAAAATAAGAAATAACCATTCAGGGCTTTACACGTTAGTAGAAAGAAAAGGTGAAGTTGGTTTGCAGGCATGTATGGCCCACCTCATTCTAAAAATCCCCAAATCATGTTTTAAAAAGCCAAGTTTACAACTTTTTACCAACTCACCACTTTGTAATGGTTAAAGCAAACTTTATAACCATGACCACATCACAAGTTAGTCAAATTAGATCATAACCAATTAGATAAATTGAAGAGAACAAACCCTTAGCAGCTGTGAAGAAAAAGACAAGAAACCCTAATTCATAACTTGTTCTATAACACGTTTACCGCCTACCGTCCACCACGCAATGTCCATATATAGCTTTTCTATCACCCCGCCCAATGTCTTTTCTGATCAACTCTCTTTGTGATCTCGATGATTTCAACTCTCCAATAATATCATTTGCTAGATGAATAATGTCCATTATGTTTGAAATCTTTTTATTTATAAAGGAAAAAAACAATGACCATAGCGTTCAATATTCTTGTAATGACGAGGAATAAAGAATCAATATTACTACTCCGTAAAAACGAAAAAAGATTACCGAAATCAAGAGAATCGAAACTCAAAAATCAACATGTATTCAAAAAAACTTTGCACGTCATTACTAAAGGAAGCCTAAGGTTGAAAAAAGAGGTTCAAAACTAGATGGGAAGAAGAAAAGTAGATTAGAGCCAAAAATGAAGGTGTTTTTTTTTTAAAATCTTGGCCAATAATAAAATTAAAATGATATGGTATATTAATTGAACAACGTAATTTTTAAAAAATTGTTTATAAGATAAATCTAATACTCTGGGGTAATATTAATTCTAAATCAATATCTAATATGAATTTTATGAAAGTATAATTAAAGTTTGTCAATTTTGATAGCAAAAAATATGAACAAACTCTCCGAGACAAAGTCATATAAAGTAACAAAAAGTCTACTCTAAAAGAAGTATGACTGTTATAATGAGTTTTTGTGATAGAAGATGACTATTGTTGATAGAAGATTAGAACCGCAAAATAAAATGTAATAATCCGAACTTATGTTCTGTTCGGATTTTACAATGAAAAAAAAGCCTTTAAGACGTTAATGGGTTTTCTTCTCTTAAATTTTTTTTACTTTATACTTATTCTAATTAGAATCATATCAGATCATAAATAACTCTAAATATAACTACAATCAGATCAAATCAGAATTTAATCGAATCAAATCACAACCAATCAGACAAGCAACATATGTTTTACCCTACCTTAATTTCCTCAGAGGCAAGGCCCGACCAAACAGCTTCTCAACTTCAGTGGCTTCCATTTTAAGCCCATCAAGAATCTCCTTTTCTTCCTTGCTCAGCTCCCGCAAGAAGTACTCTTCATCCTTCTGCACTTCCTTCAGCCCTTCCAACAGCCTATTGAACAGACTGATTTCAGTGTCTTTCACCTTCTCCACCTCCCCTTCTATCTCTTCCACTTCCTTTATGATGCTCTTCTCCCCCTCTTCCACTGTCTTCTCCAGTCTCTCCACGAGGGGTGGCTCGGGCCCACACGAGTTGTCTGTTCGGATGAATTGGTCAAAATTCCGCCCGACCCTCTCAGCTGCCCTCCGTATCTCAGGAACTATGCTCTCGGGCAAGATGGCACTCCTTGTGTACAGTACAGCGCCGCCGTATCCATCCCATGCGTCGTTTCTCCCTCGGTAATATACAAATATATAGTCATCTGCCTTATTCTCCACTTGGGATGACAGAATGTACCTGTGTTTTGAGTTTGTTTGGTGAGGGTAGAGTTTGGTTGGAATGAAATGAATGAATGAGGTGAACTATCTAAAACTGTTTAACATAGGATTGAAATACCAGTCATCTTGGTAGTGCAGATATTCATTGTCATGGTTGTATAGTATTCCCGGATACTGTGGATCTTGCACGAATCTCTGTACAGCCGACCGGGTGAAAAATCCTCCATCTGGTGTCTGAATCCTCCATGACAATTTACCCACAAGTTTGTCACCTTCAACATGGAACTCATGCACTTGGCAATCAAATGCATCAAAAGTGGGGTTCAATCCACTGGTTATAAACCATTTCCCCTCAAAATCTTTCATCCTGAAGTTTTTGGCAAGAACACTTGGATCGGGAGCAGGAAATTCGCCTACGTCTGATTTACGAGGTACACATTTCTTTCGTGACACTGCACACTCATTGAACTCATCTACCACACTGTTTTCAAACAAATCACCACATTTTATCTGCAAAGTAAAAACAAGAAGATTTAACTTTGGTTTCCATGGGCAAGAGGAAGGAATGTAAACAGACTAACCTGGCATTCTGTCTCATCGGGTCTATTGTTGCAAGTCTGGAGACAAGTAATATTGGCCGCACATGAAGGGTTTGCTATACATTTGGCAAGCTCCAACCTGATTCGTCACCATATTCATTAACTTGATTGATATCATGTTGTAGACTTATAGATAATAATTCATAAATTATACGAAAACGGGAGCCAGGTTCACAATGCATCCAAGCTGAGCGAGAGACCAGAGAAGGGTCCCACAGTAAGAGTGTATTGCAAACAAATTTTGCATTTTTGCACGAGGCCTGTTTTTAGACACTAGACAGTACATGTCTTTAATCATTAAAGAGGTTTTGGTATCTCTATCGTGTACTCCCTTTGCTGCACAATAAGTGTTGTCTCGAGAAATTTTCATAATATATGTTTTTTTATAAAGAAAATACAATATTTAGTACACTCATACAACAACTGAGCCTTATCCCAAGTAAAATGGAGTCGGTCACATGAATCAATAAGAGATTCATATTTAAGACTCCTTTACTAAGACCAATATGGAGGATTAGTAAGGGGTAATATGGCCACCTTACCACTAGATCAAAACTTTCCTAAGGATACTACTACGTAAAAAAATTACTAACCAAATCCATACTAACACATCTGCAGTCATGTTTTAGGCATAATGTCATGCTAGTGGCAAGCATATTCCATGAAATACCTGCACTCTTTCAGTAAGCAAGTACAAGTTTTTAGAGCATCCACTGCGTCAGCATTTGGAATTACCATTAAGACAAATGCAGTTATTATTGCAGTTTTCGCAAAGTGGCCCCACTTCCTACCGATGACCGTGGGTAATGACTCCCAGTATTTGGATATCTCCTAAAGCAGCTTACAATCAGAAAAATACACATATAAGGCAAAGAGAGCGAGAACAAACATAAAACAAGATCTACCAGCAACCTTGATCCAAAGTAGTTGGTGTAGGTTTGGAACTCAGAAAATGCTAGGGGAATTAAATGAAAAGGAAAGTGTCCCAAGAAATTTCAAGGAAGTAAACTGACTTCCCTTAGCATTATTCCCTTTCCCTAGCATTTTTTGGGATCCAAACATACCATAGGGGTGGGTGGCATGAATATTACAGTACGAACCAACTATCTAAATTTTTTTAACACTTCAAGCAAGGAATAAGACTTCACAATAAAAATTATAGCAGCGAAAAGCCGAATGCATAAATAGGAAGAAATCAACTACAGAGTATTTACCTTATAAGTACCAATGTTATTATTTCTCATCAAAGAGCTATTCTCATTTATATGTAAACGAAGGCCAGTACATCTATAACCCAAAAAACTGCATATCCTAAGAGTTTTAGGCAGCTTCACTCGTGTGAGTCTCCATCTATGTGGAGAGAATTCCACTACGGCTACACGCTCAGAGGCAGCCCAGCTAACCCTTTTCTGAGAACGAATGCTCCGGTTGTCAAGGAAATGTGCATGTAAAGCAAATGCCATTCTTCAACCAGATAACTGCAACACAACTGAAATGTAGTTCAAACTGTATGAGACTGACAAAAGAAACCCTAATAAATAAAAGACAATTTGAAATCAAATACAGCATCAGATTGATAAAAAATATTTTAAAATCAGATTCTGATCAGAGCCAAGTCATCGACTGTCTGCAGATGTTAGTGGATTTTCTAAACTAAGACTAACACGAAGTTGAGATAAATCACTCCGTAATTGACCAAACAGATATCAATCCTCCGCTTCAAAATCCCTCTACCAAACAAGCCCTTAAAGCACTGATCCATTCATTAAGCGGAAATTGAGAAAGGGAAAGCAGAGAAACCTGGAATGATGCACGTGGCGGCGAAGAGGAACGCCGGCAAAGCACAGCCTTCCTTGCAATTTCACAGCGGCTGCAGCCGGCTATGGATGTTCCTTTTTTGGATGATACTATCAACTCTTTTTCCATAAACACATGTGTGTCCAAAAATTTATCATCTTTATCTATTCCCCTTTTCTCTTCCCCTATTTCTAATTTTTTTTAAAAAGTTTTTTGTATCTATTTTTTGAGAAACAACATATACAAAAGGTCTTCTCTAAAAAGGAATTCTGGCGTGATAAAAGGTCTTTTGCATATTGTTGTTATGACGGCTAGGCAAGACTGAGCGCTAGAGCACCTTCCAATTGTCCATGCGTTCGCTCGGCAAGTGGGCTATGGCGACTATAATAATTTTATAGGTACTAATTTTATGAAATAGAGTTTATGTGTGTGTCTATATATATATATAAGCCTACTCCAATAAAGTGTGCTTTTAAAAGGCATATTAAATTTTGAGTTTTATACTCGTGTGTAAAGGTGCAATAGTCTTTAATGGGTGTATTCCACCCATGACCGGTCAAAAGAAAAGACCGAATAGTTGACCGATCAATCTGAAAGAACAGGGAAGGGAGATTTTAATCGTCGGCCGGAGGACACTCGAGATGGTCAAAAGATTACCGGTATACTTCAGAAAAGTATACCGGTCAAACTACTACATGGCTTCATTCATCCCTCAAATGCGGTAAACTAACCTTTGGGAAACTACCCGGTGTAGTTTTTAGAGTTAGAAAGCGTCGGCAGAAGAGAATCTAAAAGGGCTTGGCGTGTAGCGACCCATGTCAGTGGAGGATCGCTGGAGATGCTGAAGGAATCTGTCCAAGCCAGTACGTGACAAGGGCACAATCTCCCTCGCAAGGCGACAAGGCAGCAAGAGGACGAAGGCCATCACTTCTCACCTTCCGAGAATGTGCCTCCACGTGGGTGCACGTTGCCCTGTCCCCCTTCGCCTAGTATAAATACTGCTGTAGCTCTCAGAAGTAGGGATCCAAATTCATTCTCTCTAAACTCCCTTGTAAAAGCACCCGTGCATTCTCTGTTATAATATAAATTGGGCTACAGGTGTTCCACCTAAAGTCCTACCGGTCACTTTGCGTGTTTTTACCTTTCTTACTTTACCAAATAAAGCAAACTATTCTAGACCCGGTCTAGTATAGTTTGACTAGTCAAGTAATTTACACCATCATTTTGGTGCCCATCGTGGGGCCGTTAAGGTTTCTTCTCCTCTAAACACAAACCTACCCACAAAAAAACCACTCAAAAATCTTCAAGCCAACAAATCAATGCTACTTCCGCTCAGGTGTAAGCCACCAATGAAGGTACCAGCATCCCCATGGCTGCTACCCTACCGGCCATTTCTACTCCAGTTTTTCCGTTGGGTCTAAGTTCGGCCCCAACACCCAGCATGGTCAGCCCATTCACGACCCCTGTCCCTTCTGCTGGACCAAGGGTCACATTCTCACCAAGCATGACTCAGTTCATGAACAATCCGGCCAACCTGCAGGCCATCTAGGGCTTTGGCTAGGTCATGGCCATGTGCCAACAGAATGGGGGGATGCCTTTTCTCTCTGGTATGTTCCCGTTCGCTCTTCCAGGCGCGGGAACCATGCCCCTACAAGCTCCAATGGCGGTGTCTCCCTTCCAGACGCCAGTGCCGCAGCCATCACCTTTCCAGCCGCAGCTGGTCAGCACCGTAGCCCCTATCAACCTGAATGATGCGCTTAACGCTGCAAGGCCGTCGCGTCCCCCGCAAGGTACGAATCCACAGATTACTCCTGATGGTCACTGCGTCTCAGTTGAGAGCGGAGACGAGGAGTGGGACATTCCGAGGGCCCACAAGAAGAAGAAGAAGGGGAAAGCCGTCCGGCCAGCCACTTCCCGATACTCCGCCTTCGAAAGCCTAGGGGACAGGGAAGAGGGCCAGAGGAAATCAGCCAAGCTGAGGCTGGGGCAGAGCGTTCGTCCGGTTAGGCGAAGGGAGGGAGGCCGAGCCTGCCCGTACCCAGCGCTCCCAGTCGAACCGGCAGGAGCTCGCGAGGACGAGGGTCTCCCATCAAGAAGAGGAAGCTGAGAGCCAGCCTAGGGGACCGGTGGCTAACCGGCTGACTGTCCCAAATGATCGCATCCAGCAAATGGAGGCAAAACTGGAGAGGCTGGCAAAAAGAGTAGGGGAAAAGAATGACTGGGACAAACCCCACACTAGGTCCCCGTTCACTACAAGGGTTCATCTAACACCTTTCCCGCGAAAGGTCAAGATAGACGCCACAAGATTCACCGGGAAAGAAGACCCAGAAATCCATCTGGATTCTTTCAATCAGAGTGCAACCATGAACGGTTGCACAGACGAAGAAAAGTGCCTCCTTTTCTTCCAAACCTTGCGGAACCGGGCTACTGAATGGTTCAATAAGCTTCGTCCAGGAAGCATTGATTCATTCAGCGACTTGGCTTCAAAATTCTAGGTCAAGTTCCAGGAGAATTGTACTAAGAGGAAGAAATTCACCTATCATAGTACAGCCGGGCAGAGGGAGTCTGAGAACCTTACTCAGTTCCTTACCCGGTTAAAGGAAGAGGTAGACAAGGTGGAAGAGATGGATGACAAGACCGTCTTATCTCTTCTCTTGAATGGCTTACGTGCCGGGGAACTATACAAGGAGTTTTGCCGGAAACCCCCAGCCACGTACCAAGAGACCTACCACACTGCATGGGAGTTTGCTGAGGCTGAAACTCAACTCCGGGCGAGGAAAGAAGCTGAGCATGGTTTCAAACCCAAGCCAGTGCAAGTCAAGAAGGAAGAAGCACCGGTACCCAGCCGGCCAAGGCATCACTATGACCCGGTCGTCCGCGTGGTCAACACAGAAGAATGTCAAGAGATCAGAAAAGCACCGGTCATTCCTCCGGAAAACCCTACCAATCAAACAAGACGGAAATGGTCGGGCACCTATTGTTCGTACCATAGGTCAGATTCCCATAACACTTCAGAGTGCAAGAGTGTTAAGGGAGTCATCCGGCAAATGATAGACAGCAGGGAACTGGGCAAAGATTATTTGCAGAAAGCTCAGGAGAAGAACCACCAATGGGTTAGGCCAGCGACCCAGGGAAACAACCAGAACAATGACCGGCGGAGGAACAACCGGGCGAGGGAGCAACAACCTGCCCCTGACAAAGAGCTTATTGGAATGATCTTCGGCAGACCCGAAGGCGGAGATTCAGCCGCGCAGCGGAAGAATTGGGTTCGCAGCATTTCTGTTGGTGAGGTAAGTGCTGAACCGGCCAGGCGAAAACAGGCCAAGAGGGAACCGATCGTCTTCACTGATCGGGACCTCCCACCTACCGGTGAAGACCACAATGATCCATTGGTTATCACCATGGACATCAATGGGGTAGATGTTGCCCGGGTACTTGTTGACACCGGTAGTAGTGTCAACATCCTGTACTTGGAGACATTCCAAAAACTCAGGTTGTGTCGGACACAACTTGAACCCCTCAAAACCCCTCTCTCGGGCTTCACGGGAGATACCGTGGAAGCTGAAGGGTCCATAGTTCTACCGGTCGAACTAGGATCGGGCGAGAAGACCGTATGGAAGAAGATGCGGTCCATCGTTGTGGACATCAAATGCATCCACAACACAATCCTTGGAAGTCCAGACATCAATAGAGTCGGGGCGGTGATTTCCATGCCTCACCTATGCATGAAGTTCCACACTCCAGGTGGCGTGGGTGAAGTAAAGGGCGACCAGAGGAACGCCCGGGAATGCTATGCCCGGGCAGTCAAAAATATGACCAAAGGGGTCAACGTGATCTCCCAGGAAATCACAAAGGGAGAGACCTGGGAGAAACTTGAACCTGAGGCCGAGACGGTGGAGATTGAACTTCACCTGGGTGATTCTTCCAGGATGGTCAGAATTGGAGCAAATCTCCCAGAAGATCTCAAGGCAGAGATTACACGGGTCCTCCAAGAATACGCGAGCATATTCAAATGGAGCGTGGCGGATATGCCCGGAATAGATCGCTTTGTTATTTGCCACCGGTTGCCCGTGAGAGAGGGAAGCCGACCGGTACTCTAGAAGAAGCGGTACCTGGCTAGTGACCGGCGAGACTTCGTCAGGAAGGAGGTGAAGGACCTGTAACACCCCAATCCGTATAACCCGGAATTATACGAATTAAGGTGAAACGAGAGTTAAATAAAAATTTCGCTTGACATTCGAAAATGACAATTACTTATAAATATTAAATTTACAGACTCTGGATCGCGACCCATTTAAAAAATATTTTCAGAGTAATGCGGAAGTACAATAATAATCAAATCATGACACATTTAAAAATCTGATGATCAACATTTGCCTGCCATCCTTGCATCTCCTCTAACTCAATGCCCTCCGGGAGTGGTTCCATCATTGTCTTCTTGTTACCTACGTGTAGTCAACGAAAAATACAAACTACACGCTCAGCGAAACCGCTGAGTGGTACCACGCTAGAATTGTAGAATGATTCTCAGACATATACATATACATATATATATACGTCCACAAAATGTATAGTAACATTCATGATATGACACATATTATCATATGGTCAATTTGATGAATCATGATGATAAATATTTAATGATAATTACCTGATGGCATATTTAATCAACATAATTATTCTTGATGATGATTACATGACACCTATGTAATCAATATAATTGTTCTTGATGATCATTACATGACACCTATGTAATCAATGTACTTGATGATGATAACATGATTTCACATTTAATCAATTTGATTGTTCCTGATGATGGTAACATGATGCATGATCCTATAACTTGCAAGGATACCCTTACGCTATGAGATTCGCCCATTTGGTACGACGAACTCACGCGGCCTTAGTCTCACGAATGAGGTGAGACTTGAAAAATAGGGGTGGTACTCGAAACCTGAATACCATGTACGTACACTAAGCCCGGAACAGGTGATGTTGGACTAGTAAGTCCCGCACATCACGTTATAAGAGACGCAATTACGCATGATCTCTTACGCATGCATATGATATGATATGCTACAATATGTGTGATGAAATGAATGATATGACATGAACAATTTGTAAACAATATGAATATATAATCATGCATTAGTTTATTTGGATGAAACATGATTAAAATATCATTTAATTAAGCTACGGGGCTCAGAACAGTCGACCGTTTGGCGCGACGGTCGACCTTGGTCTTCATCAGGTCGGATTGGTGGATCACCGTGACGGTCGACCGCGGTTGACCGGCGGTCGACCGTTGTTGACTGGAGGTGGACGGCGGCACTTGGCTGGACAGGCGACGGTCGACCGTTGGCCACTGGAGGTCGACCGTTTGTCTGACAGTCGGGGTCCATTTCGATGTTTAACGCGACGGTCGACCGTTTGCGTCGACTGTTTGGGTCTGCGAATCTTTCTCTTGATATTTTAAGTGTCCAAAATACTTCTTTAAGTCTTTTAAGCACCTTTGATTAACATATACATATTGTTGGGTTGATTTCCAAAGTTTATATTTACTTATGTGTATATTAACTTTATGGATTTGGTGAATTTTGATCTCAACATATAGATAACTTATATATGTATCACATATATATTTTGGAATGGTTTTAACATATGGAATAACATATATGTTCATGTATGTATGTGATGAATGATTCGACAAGTCTAACGCAAAGGTACATACCTGGAAATCATAGGTCGAAACCTTACGGATGAGCGGGAGTGGAAACAACGTCGAAATTCACCAACTTTATCAATCTCGTCACAATTGGACAGCCTCCGGTATTTTTGGCACATCTCCATCGTTTCTTCACGGAATTGCAAACCGTTTGATTCTGTGGATTCCTAAGATGTAAGGCTATAACTTTCGTATAGAAAGTATTTCGAGTTAAGAGATGTAAGATAGCGTAAATTGGACCTGAAGTCAATGGATAGTTGCTGTCTAGGATTTCGGATATGTCGATGAACAATGATTCCGGCGATTAACTCATTAACATCAATATTCCAACACCCAACCTTCTCTACGATATCTTACAGATGTTCCTAATAATTTTTAGAGAGTTTATGGTGAGTTCTTGGAATGAAACAATATGAATTTGGTGAAAAAGGTGGTCCAACCCGAGGAGCTCGCCACCACTAGCGCAGTCCCGGTATTTTGACCATATCTTCTTCGTTACTTAACAAAATTGCGAGCCGTTTGTTGGGCTGGATTCGTATCGTCCAGGGCTACAACTTTGGTTCAGAAAGTATTTCGAGATAATGAATGGAAAATTTCAGTTTTTACCTAGAAGTGGGCTGCTGTGTTTGAACTCAAGATTTTAGAAACTTTAGCTACCTTCTTCTTGCTCCTTCTTCTTCCTTAACATGAATCATGGAGTTGGAATCTCCTTTTTCCTTCCTTGGTGCCTGACCGACGGAGAGAGAGAGAGGTGAAGAGGAGAGATGATTGATGATGATGGTGGTGGTGGAAGATGATGATGATGGCGAGAATTTTGGAAACATATATAGAAAAGTGGACTTATCATGTAGTGGAAGGTTGAGTGGGTTTTATTGGTGACTAATTGGAGATTTGAGGAGATTGCTACGTGATTGAGAGAAATATGGAGATTTTTAAATATTCTCCTACTCCGTAACTGATAAACTGGCTAAAACGGTACGCGCTTTTTCGCCTAAACTGCTCCGAATTGAAAACGGATTGTGTTTTTCGAAACAGACTGTCAAAACTAGAATTTTGACGTAATCAAAATATTTTTCTGAGAACTTTTATTTTCTTAATGTTCGGGTCTGTCTCAGTCATAAATAAATTTTATAGTATGAATGAGATATAAATATATGAATTAAATCCAAATGATAAATATGGTGTTATCAAATGCCCAAGATTAATATTTCTAATCTTATGAAACCACTTTTGAATTGAGTTTATTTTATGGGTCAAAATTACAAATTTTAATATTTAAAATCGTCATAGCTTGAAATCTATAAATCAGATTGGTTCATAAAATGTACCGTTGGATTCGTCTCTTCGAGACATATCCATAAAAATAAGTTTTTAACGAAAAGCCATTATTTTGAAAATCCATTTATTTTTGGTCAAACGTAAAGATATTCTTTATTGGACCAAAATGATATTTAAAACTACTTTTGTTTTATAATATATTTTAGACCATATTTTGTGGCGTTACAGGACCTCCTTAGTGTTGGTCACATCCAGAAAGTCAAATACCCGGATTGGCTGGCCAACATTGTCCTTGCTCCCAAGGGCGACACGTGGAGAATGTGTGTGGATTACACGGACCTGAACAAGGTTTGTCCGATGGATTCGTAACCCTTCCTAGTCCAGATCAAATGGTGGACGAAACTGCGAGGTGCGAACTCCTAAGTTTCATGGATGCCTTTAAGGGTTACCACCAAATCTACGTGGCCAAGGAAGATGAGGAGAAGACGTCATTCCTCACACCTGAAGGAACCTACTGTTACTGGGTGATGACGTTTGGCTTGAAAAATTCAGGAGCAACTTAACAGCGCATGGTGAACAAACTCTTCAAGCCATTATTGGGAAAAACCATGGTGGAATACATCGACGACATGCTGATCAAAAGCCAGGTATCTCTCAACCACCCGGCTGATATGCGTGCCACATTCGATATGATGGCGAGATACAACCTCTGGTTAAATCCTAAGAAATGCGTCTTTGCGGTTCGTACCGGGAAGTTCTTAGGATTCATGGTGACCAGGAGAGGAATAGAGCCCAACCTAGAAAAAATCCAGGTTATCACTGAAATGCAAGCCCCCACTTCTGTGAGGGATGTCCAGAAGTTGACCGGTCGCCTAGCGGCCCTCAGCCGGTTCCTTTCCTGGTCAGCTGAGAGATCCCTGCCTTTCTTCAAAGTCTTGAGGAAGGCCAACACATTTGCATGGGACGAAGAGTGCCAGATGGTATTTGAAGAGCTGAAAGAGTACCTGGTGTCGGATATTGTACTGTCTAAACCCGAACCGGGTGAAACCTTGTATCTGTACTTAGGAATTTCCCCAAATGCTGTAAGTTCCGTCTTAATAAGATATGATGGGGCGCAAAAGCCCATTTATTACGTGAGCAAAGCACTAAACGGAGCAGAAAGTAGATACACGACGATGGAAAAAACAGCCTACACGCTTTTCATCTCCGCAAAAAAGTTAACACCCTACTTCCAAGCCCACCCGGTTGAAGTACTCACTGACCAGCCACTAGGTGCAGTACTGCGAAATTCAACATCCTCCGAGAGGATGGTGAAATGAGCCATGATGTTAACTCAATTCAACATTGAGTACCGGCCAAGGTTAGCAATCAAGGGACAGGCCCTCACAGATTTCCTGGTAGAAATGACCGGTCTAACTCCAGATCTACCGGTCAACAAGCCCACTGAGCAATGGTGGGAGATGGCAGTAGACGGGGCATCTGGTCCTAAAGGATACGGGGGTGGTATCGTATTTACCACCCCGAAAGGGTTCAAGATCTACCATGCAATCGTCTTCAACTTTAAGCTGACGAACAATGAGGCAAAATATGAAGCTCTAGCAGGAGGGCTCAAGCTGGCCCAAGCCCTGAAAATCAGCCGGGTCAGTATCAAATCTGAATCTAGTTTGATCATCGGGCAAGTAACCGGTAACATGGAAGTCAGAGAAGGACGAATGGCGCAGTACAAAGACCTTGTACTTGCTTTGCTGAAGGGCTTCGAAGAATTCAAAATCGCCCCAATTCCCCGGGCAGAGAACGCGGATGCAGACCTTCTTTCTAAATTGACGCAGTATGCTCCCGAGCATGTTTCAAAACTTGCCCGGGTGGAAATCCTGGATCGAGCTAGCATCGAAAAATTGGAAGCCGCCGCTATAATAGCCGGAAGCCAATCTAATCGGTCAAACCTGGTCGGGGTGGACGACCATTGGATGTATGATGTAATGGAATTCTTAATGGATGGGAGCTTGCCTGAACAAGAGGACCGGGCAAGAAAAGTGAAGCTCAGGGCACCCCGATTCAAGGTTCTTGGTGGAAAACTGTATAAAAGGGCATTTGGGAGGTCAATTCACTTTCTCCCCTGCCCACAATACTTTCTCTCTCTAGAATTTTATAGTTTTTGTTCTTCAATAAGCATCCATTAATGGCTTCCGAGCCCAATTCATGTATTGTGTACAACCCCCGATATTAATAAAAATCCCCTGTTGGCAAGGTACTGCCAAAAAAGCCCGTTGTTTTCTCCCGATTTGGGTTTCACGTCAAAAATCCTGTGTTTATATTTTGGTGTATTTTTTAGACTAGTTTATCGTTGTTTCCCGGCTAAAAATGATATACCGGTCGATAATTTACACAGGTGCTTCCATCTACAACCTACCGGTGAAACAAAAAAAGAATACCCCGGTTGTGTATTGATAAAATGGAAATTCAAAAGTTCTACCACGCAAAGCAGTTGACCGGTCAAACCATGGAGTGGGAATCTACCGGTCAAACTGAACTTTGTCGAAGTATTCATGAAGCTATCCAAAAAGCTAAAATGAAGTTCAGCCGGTCAAGCTTTTTCAAGTCGGCCATCAAGATGAAGACATTCAAAAGTGAAAGTTGGAGTTCAACCGGTCTATTTCGATTATAGGCCAAAGAATCAAAGTCTAACCGGTCAGATCGAGTTTTTACGAAGACATTCTAAGGAGCAAAATAAAAATATCAATCAAGAAGCAAGATCAACCGGTATGGAAATTAAACATGGCATTCAAATGAAATAAGAATGTTAAATGTTTACAGATACACCGGGCATTCCCGGGTAATGAGTTTCAATTTTTACAAAACAATTCAACCGGGCGTAGCCGGGGAGTTCATTCAAGGGAGAATGGGGGAGTTGGCTCTTCTTCTAGGATTGGTGCCAGGCCATAGGATGCAACGCTGAAGGCCGGGTCTCTTTTGAGCAATACCCGGTGAGAGGCGATCCAGTCTTTCTTTTGACCGCTCTTGAATCCGAAGGATCCAATTGCGGTAATCATCTTCCTTCCTTCACGCTCCTAGTACAGAAGCCCGAAGGACTCCGTCGTGGCCTCTGGAGTTGCCGTCATCACCCAGGCAGCTTCAGCTCTATTTTCTCCCACCCATGCGGCTGCACAACCGGGAAAGCTTTCCTCCTTCAGCGCCATCTCCTTTTTGGCTTCGGAGACCTCATCCATCAGCCGGCTATTCTCCTCCTTCAGCTGGGAGATCTCGGCCTTCATTGTCCCGGCTTCGGCAGACAGCCTGATCAACTCGTCTGCTTAGCTCTTCAGGATAAGAGCCATTTCCGCCTTCTCCTTCTTCAGCCGGGCAAACTCCGAGGGAGAGCCCATCCCTAGTTGTTCAACCGTATGGGGCCCAATCTCCCCTGCCTGCACGTGAAAACACCCCGGTTAGACTCTCATTAAAAGGAGAAAATTTAGACCGGGATGGAAGAATGCCTTACCTCTTTTAGTCTCAGCCCAAGATTGATGAAGGCCTCCTCGATGGGCTGGGAGGCCGGCTCAGAATCCGACCTTGCCCTCTTCTTAGCATAAGAGGGGTGCGTGGTGGCCACCTTCTTCATCCAGGGACCAGCCTTCTCCTTACCCTTCCCCTTAGGCCGGTCGTCTTCTGGCTCATCCAGATCATGGACTTCCACGGTCTTTGGTTGGACCGTGAATGTTTTGGAAGCCCCGGCTTAGGAACCCCCAGCCTCTCCCTCTGCTGGTCTTCGGGCATGGCGAACTCCTCGAACTCCATATCATAAAAAATAAACAGAAAATGGCTAAGTGTTGTATTTAGGTGCCCTAGCGGCAATCAAATACATATGTAACTGTACACTTTATCATGAATGAAAGGCCTTGAAGTATGTTTTATATCTCGTGTAACATATCATAGCTTCAGTCCATAGACGATAGCGCTTCAGTAACATAGATGAGGACTACGATGTTCTGATTATGAGACTGTTACTTCTTGATGAAGGCTATGTCTAGAATATCCCTAGTCGCACTTTATGATAATACGGACGTCATAACGTATCAAGACTAGTACGTACGAGATGAGATAGTTGCGTCTCATAGACTATAGGTATTGTGATATCTTAATCTGTACGTAAGTGCATATTATATCGATAATATGTGACTGGATTGACCAATCTTGAGAATACTGCATGGATCTACAGTAATGTGTTTATCAGTATTCTCAAATCGACCTTGCTATAACTATCCTCAGACTTGAAGTTATTACATTCTCTGATATGTGGGGCCGTATGCTTTGATTCATAACTAATGCTATCTGAAATACTGGTTGACGTACAGTTATGTGTTGGGTATGCCGCTAAGCATATTTAGAGATGTGAATAACAGATAAAGGATCTGTCCCTTCTACTGTATAGAAGTATAATGTCAATGAGCCCACTGAATAGTAGGACTTGGGAAAGTGCATGACCATGCCCAGATATGTCGCTATCCAGAGACTGATAAATATCTGATCCCTGCGAGTCTACTTGAGATTCAGTAACATCTTATTTAACTATACAAGGATACACATCTCATGCCTTGTGTTAAATCATGACATTTAGGACAGAAGGATAATAGTTATAGAACGTCTTGTGTCGTAGAAGGTATTGATGAGATGAACGTCTTTTTCATAATCCGGGGGTAATAATGTGTTGCTAGATACAACTTATTATCTATGATATTAATTTATATTAATATCATTGCCAGTGTTATGAATACCTAAAGGGTCACACACTTAGGACTTGTAAGGGAGTAGTATACTACACTAGTGGGAGTAATATTAAATATATAGTTGTGATAATTTTATATATATATGTATTTCGAAAATACATATGTATTTTAAAATTATATTTTGTTTGTGTCATTTTAATTATATGATAATTATATTTTGACAAAACAAATTTTATTATATATATATAT